ACTGTGTTTCAGACTTAATTTTTAAGGATACTTTATAATTTTGTTTAGATTCCGATTATTAATACGCTATAGATTAGAGTGTTAGACTAATTGTTTTCAATAACATTTGGGTAAATTATAAAATAATAATTATTATATTATAAGTTATATAGGTACCTAAATTAAAGAACATTTATTGATTCATTGATTAAAGCCAATATCGACGTACAGTTGAAAGGCGTAAATAGGTTCGTGGTATTTTGTAGGTATATATGGCTTAGAATCATTGACGCAACTAGTGGGGAGGAAAACCAAGCTCTGGTTATTTGTTAAAAAATATCGACACAATTATGTAGAAAAAACATTTCATTAATTTCACAAGATTCCTCTTAAGTTTTTCTAAATGTAATAAAAAAAAAGTTACCGAAAAATTAAACTAATTGTGAGTTTTAAGTTAGATATTTTATATTCATCCATAAATGAATACATTTTCATACAGCGATATTCTTATTTTGTTGTAATTCAAAAACTACAAGGGATTTTCTACCTATATACATGTTAATTTTTTCGTTGGTTTGAACTTGAAAGTGTAATAAGAGGTTCCTCATAAGTATAGTTATAATAGCAATTTAGAATTATTATAGATCCTACCTATATTTTTTTTTTAACAATTTTGCTACAACATAAATATAGTATACATTGGTTATAAATACAGTATTTATAATCAATGGTAGTATCCTGTAGTAAGTTCTCGCTGGAGATCTTATGTTTTGTTAGGAGGGCGGCCGCTCGGTCATCCGTCCTTGCAAGTCACTATAATGTGTATGTGTTAAATTTGAACTCAATAATATTCCTTGCATACGAAAAAGGATTCCAAGCGAAGACCTTCGCGAAGACGGTTTGTCAGTCTTATTACTATAAGTATATTTTATGATAATATATTTATATTACTATTATAATAAGTTATTTTACTGTTAATGTAGGTTTAGCAGGTTGATTTAATTTTTGCCGAAAGCATTGCATTTATTAATTATTTTAATAGTGTATATTCCTATCTTTATGAATTATTGTTATTAACTTTTGAGTCAGCAGCACATTACCATAGAATAGTGTGAATAGCTTAAAATTAAACTAAATATTTTGAAAATGTCATTGAGTAGTATAGTAAATTTTATAATAATATACGTACAAGTTTAAGTGTCAACGAATGATGTTTTTGAAAAATAACTAACATCGTTATTATTCTTCGTTTTAGTATCTAATTTTGACCAAATTTGAACTTAAAATGCCTTTAAAGAAAACTGTATTAATGCATTTTTTAGATTTTTTGAATACATTATTCACGAAGAACCACATTTAAAATTTTCAATTTACAACTACAAATTTGCACATACTTGTGATTTCAACTTAAAATTCTCATAAATATAAATTGTGCTTATGCATCATTAATATCTTTAAACTATTATTTTTTAAACTTATGAGGAACTTTATATTAACTTTTCAAGCTTTTTGACTTAGTGAATAATTGTTTAAATGTATATTGTTTAGCTTAAAAAGAGTTAAAATATTATGAAAATATTTATATTATTTTCTCATTTCTGGTAGAAAATACGATGTAATTAGTACTTAAGGCTAATGGATTTTCAAAATTAAAAAAACTCCCAGTACTTTTTAAACTATCCGGGAAACATAAAAATTAATTGAGAGGATGCTACACTTGCACGTGTTGTCTCCGTCTTATAAATTTACAACATGGCAAAAACTGTTTTACGCTGAAAAGAACATTTCAGTTGTAGTACAATAGTTAAGACTTCAAATTTGGTACAATATAGTTGAGGATATTATCTGTTAAATATCGTTTTTATTTTATTGATATCACTTATACCAAAAAAAGTTATTATTTTTATGTTATTCAAACTTAAATAACTATTTTTGTAGTTTCGATATCGGAAAAATAAAAACGGTATTTCACAGCTAAAGTTCTCCTTTTTATGTGGTAAAAATGTAATTTCTTAGTAGTTATGGCTGTAGCCTTTTCGGTTCATTCCCGTGCATACTGTTTTCGCTATATGTTTTACATTTGTTGGACGGAGACAACACATGCGGGTGTAGCGTCCGCTTAAGAAAATATCAGAATTTTTTACGCAAAACTAGTCGGTAGGTAGTAGGTACTCGATAAAATTGTTCTTGTTTGTTTGATATAACTCAGAAACGAATAACCTTAGGTGCAGCGTGCATTAGTGGGGTGTGTGTGCAACTTTAGCAGGGACTTTAGCTTTGCTAGAATTATTTTTATATTGATGTCAATTGATTTATTACCACTGTATAAAAAAATCAAGTATAAATTTTAAAGTTACTTGTTTTCGTTTGGTGTAGTTACTTCTGTTAATTGATATTATTGTCCATTGATTTCGTCTGAAGCTGTCCATCGTTATTGTCTCCGTCTTATTTAATGTTTATACGTATATCTATATTTACTGTTTTCCTATTAATTTGCATCCTTCAATGTGTCAAAAACTCATGTAGATGAAATATATTTTAATGTTGAGTTATATTGTTCTTTTTTCACTTTGTATCATGTAATTACTAAATAACGTGTAAAGAGTATTCATGTATAGTTAAATAAAAAAATTAAATAAAATCCGTGGGCGAGGAAGGATTTGATTCTCCTCTATGACTCCAGGGTTACGTTGGTAGAAAAATTGACTAAAGTGCCAACAAGCAAAAATTACTACAAATATATACACTTTGTGTAAAAATATGGGCGGCTAATGTCTTCATCTAGTCGTTACTATCACTAGTGTGTCAGATATTCAATAGTAGAATTTAGTCTTAATTACTTAATAAAAATATACAAACATTAATAAAGGCATTTTAATTTTTAAATTATTTATTTATTTGTATAGTTTTAATTTTTTTCGATCAACAAGCATAAAATATGTATGTAAATAACCATTTGGTAATGGTTTATGTTTATTTATAATAATAATGTATAGGTAAGATGTGTAGGTACCGACAATGTGATAAAATTTGACATGCTCAATTTTACAACTTATAATTACTATTGTTTTGGTAATATACCATAAGTGGGTGTCTGTGTTTTAAAGCCGCCATATAGATATAAAAACAGATTTGGCACTTTATCTCGTGCGTTTTGCCAAATATTTTTATTTTAATAACTTGAAGATAAAATTGTTTATTAGAAAATCACTATGTGTACGCTTTTTGTGTTAGGATGAGAACACGATAATGAGTATCTTATCTGTTCAAATATATCTAAGATAATAGTGACAATAGTGTGTCGTATATATTTTGTCATTTTTTATGTAGGCATACACCTACGTATTTGTGTATTTGTTATTTCCAAATATAATAATAAATTAATATATTTATCTTTTTCAGGTGTGCTGTGCGTAATTCAAATTTTTATCAATATACCTACATATTTTAATATTTACTTTGATTATTGTTATTTAAAAAATATGCTTGGTTCGTATTGTTCTATTTATATTTGTGTTTTAATTTATTTTACCCTTTATTTTGAAAGATTATAGTTTTTCGTGATTTATTTTCAATAAGTTTATAACTGTGTTTTGTTAATACTATTTAAAATGAGTGAAAACTCCGAAAATAAGGAAATTAAGACGTCTGGTTTACGACCACCATCGAAAATTCCCTCAATGGGAGTGTCGAGGTTACCCAGCTCATCTTCCATCAAACTTGGTGAGTCAGTTCTTACGTTGAAATATTATTACACTTAAGGCTGAAAAAGAGAAAAACATTAGGAACTTTAAATGGAACAAATCAACAGTAATTAGATTTATTTTTTTAGTTAGAAATTTTAGATGGTATTTACTTCTATTGCCTATACACAATTAAAGTAAAATTAGCTCATTATCGAAATTTCCGTTATTGAACTATGTTTACTGTTTACTGTACGAGTTGCTTGGGATATTATATAGGTTTTATAATTATTACAGGATGTGTTGAAATATATAGTGTAATGATATATTGAGTTCGGATGTACCATGTTCGTATAAACACATACCAATAACTTGGAAGGGGGGCCACTCCTGCAACACCTCCTTCACAGAGGAAAAAAGTTCGTAGGCGACCTACTGTGCACCTGTGCTTACAAGGTTATGGTCATCATTAGTTGTTGTTCTCTAGTCAGGTGGTGTTTGTAAATATTCGGACAGTTCAGTTTAGTGCACAGCATCGATATTCTAAGTACCTACCTATATATGAGATGCCTAATCCTGTATTCGTGGAGACAATTATACCAAGACACTTGGATTTATTCTGCCGAGCAGATGGTAGAATTATAATACATTTTAATATAAGTAGATGCATTTAAAAAAAAACAATACTCAACAAATAGGTACTTTATTTGAGAGGTATTAAATTTCAAAGTTGGTGATATTGTTATTTACCGAAAGTAATACATACTATACATTTATTCTTATTTTATCTTTTTGAATACATAATTAATTTATATTTTTAGAATATAAATCCAAACACTTATTGGTTTAGCCAAATTTATTTGAATATTTAAAATGTATATTGACTCGTATAATATAGTAACAATTAAATACTATTTACTAACAATATAGGTAAGTACATTTAACTAACAATCAGTTATAACTATTAATATATCACAGAAGTCCGACAAAACATGTTATAAAAATGATAATAATCGACTAACAAAATTAATAATTATAAACTTACTAATATGTGATTAAATATTTGAAATTAATTTGTTTGTACTTTTAAGGAAAATCTTTTAAAAATAATATCATGCGTTTTAAAACTTGTAGCAATGTGAATGCGATTTGATTAATTTAATACAATTTGTTCTTAAAGTCGTAAAAACACTTGACGACTTTTATTCACAATTTTATTAAAATGTTAACATATTCGTAATTCGTATACATTTTAATATAGTGAATCATTTCGTGCAACTTGTTCAGGTATAATATAACAATGATAAACAACCTTGTTTTTTTTAAATCATAAATTATAATATATTTTAAGCATAAAAGCCTATAATTTAAAAATTATGGCTGTCAAATAAATGAACGCTTATTTAATTAAATGTCATGTAAATGTGGATATGATGTGCTATAAGAAGTAGTATAGAAATATAAAACATGAATTGTCTCTAAAATCATCCCCTATTAAGATAAAAATATTCATACGAACTTCAAAGAATAAATTTTTATGTTTATATCCTGTTATTTGAGTAAAAACATGGTGAACATAGAACATCGTCCCACACTTTAACATATAACATAATATATTACAGGCTACAGGCGTGCATACTAGTATAAGTACGCCTACATTTGTTTCATTTGTTGGGTGATTTTAAACTTATGACCTACTTGAATTAATTTTAATTTAAAACACTATAATCAGCGAGAAAATGTTGTTCAACTTATTTATAGTTTAGGCATAAATATTTCTAACGTCGATAGTAAGTTATAATAATGATTGTTTAGTTTATTCTTGATCATTTAATTTTCACTGGCGTACCCACATTTCCGGATCTTTAACTATAATCCCACCATCCTATTGTCATTATTGATTACGATCAATCTATTAATAATTATTATTTAATGTCACGTCATTTCAGATGGAGTAAGCTCTATTGGGACCAGACTAGAAGGCGGTTCAAGTTTGAAAAAAACTGCAGGTAATGATATTTTTTGAATGTGTGAATCTTAAAATAAATAATCATTTGTAGTATAAATCACGTTTGCAATTTTAAAAGCTAATGATTACATTTTTTCGAGTATTGTTTGAACCATTAAACAATTTAGTAAATATCATAGTACAATCGCCTAGTTTATTATTAGTAGATAATTGTATGAATAATTTGGGTCTTTAATTAATCATTAAGCTATTACTTATTGTTTATTTTATTAGTATATTATGGTTTATAATAAATTGTTTTTTATTGATGGTGCTTTATTATCTCGTAGTTTTTAGTATTTAAACTGCTATTTAGAGTTTATTTTTCTTTCCTTAACCAAATTATCTTTTTCTGTCTTAATTTGTGTATTTTATTGGCTTATTTAAATTTGTTTGATACAATTTTTACAATTGAGTATAGGCATACATATTGGCTTGCGCTGATTTCATTTTCATTTGCAAAGCAAAAAATAAATGGGCCCTTCTCTCTAAAAGAAAAAAAATTGCATTATATTTTCACCTAAATTAAAAACGTGTTTGTAAGAAACTCTAAAAAAATTTTTTTTAAATTTATAAATAATAAGTATATAAGTAACCTGTTAAACTGCAGCAATGCATTTGTAACTTTTCTATAAGATGCACTGAAGTTATCAATTAAATCCACGATATACTGTTGCATACTCTGTGAGCACGCATATGACGAATATATCACATTGGATAAGTAAACTAAGGATTTTTAAATTGTTGGATCTTTATGACTTTACGCGTATAATAACAATATCATAATTATTTATAACTAATAATTGTTTATTATTGCTTATGATATTTGCATTCTGCATGTTGCATTTTGTTTTATGTTCGTAATTTATTAGAAATGGCGTATGCTAGCAAACACAATGATTTTAATAAAAAGCCGACTGATGAGCGCAAATCGTCAAGTAAGTTGCAGCATTTTATTATTTGTGTGTATGTGTAAGTAGTTTAGTTTTTTCATGTTGCTTTTATATTAGGCGGTTCAGATTCTTTCACGGGAGATGCACGTAGACTAAGTGAAGCTGGTGTAAGACGTAGCTCAGGTTTGTTTTATGATCTTTATTTTAAACAAATTATCATGTATGCTTTCATTTAAATAATCATCACTGCATTATAGTATACACTCAACACGTAAATACCTAATACATTTATTCGCATAATTATATATTGAAAATTAACTTATATGAAAGTCCTATAATTTTCTAGGAAACAGTGTTGTTCTTACAGAAGATACAGACAAATTTATAATCGGAAATCGAATTTGGGTGGGTGGAACTAAACCCGGGCAAATTGCATACATAGGCGAAACCAATTTTGGAAACGGGGATTGGGCTGGTGTAGTACTTGATGAACCAATTGGTAATTTGGTACCTAATACATGGATTATGATGTTGAGTTTTATTGTGTATTTTATTTTAGGTAAAAATGATGGGTCCGTGAGTGGAACTAGATATTTTCAATGTGGACCTAAGAGAGGCATATTTGCTCGTCTGACTAATCTCACCTCTTCTCCTTTGAGTTCTGTTGAAGATTCAATGGTTCAAAATTCATTTGCCGCAACTAAACCATTAGGGTTTTCAACTCCTATGCCTAAACGGCAAGGTTCAACTGTGACAGCTACTAAAACTGTTGCAAAAAGTAAGTGAAAAAAAGGTGATTTGGAAGTTGTTATGAGTCACTGAGGTGTATATTTAAATGAAAAATCAACGATAAATTACTATGTTTGAAAAAAGCTTAAGAGCAGAGCTTGTATTATAATTTATTAACATACTTGACATAATTTTGTTTAAAAAATACTGTCGATTTTTTTCAGTAGAAAAATGCTCCGATTATAAACTACCAAGGATGTTTCTGGTAAAAAGTTAGACTAAGTGTGTACCAAGATGGTGGTGGGGGAGGGGTAAAATTTAGAATTTTCTCATTTCTTTTCAAAATAATCAGGAAAAACCATCGAGACTTGAAATTATGAACAATTGTTTTAATATTTACTTTAAGTACGTTACAAAATTTTCAAATTATTCTTAGCCATTTAGAATTTGAAATGTTCAATCTTTTAAAATTTTTATTAGACTTGTATGATAACATTTTTATCCGTGAGTAGGTAAATAAAAAATTAATACAAAGTAACAAAAAGTTTGACCATTTCCACTCGCTTTCCATCATATACTATGATTTATCATTAAATTCAAATTTAACATATCTACTGCAGTATAAAGACAGATTTAATTATTTTTTTATCCCTTAATTTTTCTCTATTAATTGATAAGGATTAAATCTTGATGGTTAGAATTATGTTTATAATATACATTTTGTTGTAGGTATTAGTCAAACACCTATTCCCAAAAGTAGCAGTGATTTAAAAATTGGCGATCGTGTAATTATCAGCAGTGGACAAGGATCTAAATTGGGAGTTCTAAGGTATCGTGGTGCAACTCAATTTGCGCCTGGAGAATGGTGTGGTATCGAATTAGATGATCCTCTTGGAAAAAATAATGGAACTGTTGAAGGAATTAGGTAATTCAATTGTTTTTGAAAATATTTTTAAAATTACAATAATTATATTTTTTGTTTTTAGATATTTTGAATGTGAAGATAAATTTGGTTTATTCACTCCCATTGCTAAGGTTACCAAATCGCCGATGTCTGCCAGTCGAATGTCGACCAATTGTGCTATTCACAAGACAAAACGTTCACCAGGCTCTATGAATGGATCTATGATCAGTGGTATTACATCAACTACCATGTCATCAATACCTACTCGGGTAAGACTTGGAGTTGCCTCTTTATGCTACAAGGTATTTTGCATGCATTTTAATTGCTTCTAATCTTTAATACAGTGAATCATTGTCTTGAACAAAAAATTAATCATTGCGTTTTATTTAGTATGAATTCATACATTTTATTATGCTGTAAAGATAAAAAAAATTCTAATTATTACAGGAAAGTAATTTAAAATCAAATAAAATTGAGTTATTTGGTGAAGATTAGATATTAAATATTTTTAAAAATATTAAATGAATTATTTTAATAATATTATACAATATAAAATAATCCGATAGCTTATAATATGCATTATCTACACTGCTTTAAATATTTAAAAATCATTTGCTATTCATACTTTTAAAAATAAATTTGTAGCTTTAATTTATCAATGCACAAATAAATGTGTCGATACTTTTTGCTTTCTATGCATGTCATGCTAAAAATTTTATTTTTTTTATCGCCTATAATTTATACAATTTTCAAACAATAAGATGCCAATGTAAAATGTGTCATCTGTAAATAACATACTAATGATTACGAAAATGATCTGAATTTTTTTTGTTGGAAATTAATTAATTATGAGTTTAGCTTTACCGACTGGTAATGTATTCAACTGTGCACCTTTAAAAGTCTAGCTGCACTGGTGTAGAGTTCCTAATGGGATTATAGCAAAACAACTAATATATCCAATAATTAATGAACTTTATATTTCAATTAACTCGTTTTCTTTTTTTAATTATTGAACTGCTCGTAGTCCCAATTTATTGTAAATGTATCTTTTTTTTTAAATTATGTTGAATAATAAGTTTGTTTTCGGTATTTATTTTTAGAACCCCTCCTTTGTGATTGTTGTAATAGGTTATATTTTGTTTAATTTAACAATAAAATGAATAGTTTGGTCGGGCTTGTTTTGTACAGACTATTTGTTAGAAAGTGATACAAATGTTTTCTCTTAAAATGCAACAGTTAAAAAACTGTACGAAACTAATAATTATTATAACACTACAATAAGTTATACATTTTTAATTAGATTTAAAATAGCATTATATTATGTAAGAATTTGTGTTAGGTATAATTTAATGGATATTTTAGTCAAATATCTAAATGATACATAAGATTTAATCTATAACTCACTAGAATAGTTACTACGAGTGTTTAATATAATTTAAGACTGCACTGAAATAATAAAAAGTGAAATTATTAAATAACTAGGAGGCCACAAATATGAAACATTTTTTTTTGTTGATATTATATTTTATATCCAACACCGGTGAAGGAAAATTAACTTATTAAAACTAAAAATAAAGTAATATCTTTAATAACAGATAATAACATACAGTATAATTTTTTTTAATGATTTTGAATACAAATCAGGTAAGTAGTGATAAATTATATTTTGTTTTAAATATAATAACTTATTTTTATAAACAGAAAAAAAATATTAATTATTTTGTTAAAATTTCTAGTCAGAAGTGAGATTTGTGGAAACCTATCATCCGCAATGGGAATCTGGTTATTATTAATTCAACCATCACTTATTGTATAAACTAAAACATATTTGATTATTGATATAAACATTAATGCAGTATTTTTGTTTATTTTTAAACACCAAAGTCTAAATTATTAACAATTGCACTACAAGATATAATAATTAAATACAATTATTAATAAACATAATCTTAATTTATTGTTCCACGTTTTTATTAGACTATTCTAACTTTAAATCTAATTTTATTATTTGTTATATTTTTTTGTTTCTGTTTGTTACATTTTATTATTTTATAATGTTTTGTTTTACACCAAGTAATGAAAATAATTTTTCATTTGTATATTTTTCATTTATCCTGCCTTGAAATCCTTGTGATTTTTGTACCATTTTATTGTACTGCATGGTGTAATTTTGAACTATTTAATGTGATATTGTATGTCTTATAAAGTTTATTTAATTTTTCAGTCCATAATAACTCTTTAATATATTTTTATCTGATTTCCATGTACTTCAATCGATATTTCAAAACATTTTATGCTTTAACTTTGAATTTTCTAATTTTTAAAGTTTTATATTGTTTATGGTTTATAAATTGCTATTTATTCAAGATAATATGTGGTCGAATTAAAAAATATGTTTGGTTAGGAGAGTAAAGTACCAATATAAAAGACGTTTTTATAAAACGCAGTTCGCCAAAGACCTATTTGATATATAAATAGTATTTTGGTGCGGGCACTCAAAAAATAAAGAATTAAAAAAATTGCCTTTAAATATAAACATGTATATATATATATGGATATAAAAAGGGGGTGACAACTCCTCAATCCTACCAATAGTTGCACCATAGATCAAAACTAAAGGTTAGACTTAAGGGTAAATAGTATTGATCTTTAAGTAGGTTAGACATATCTGTCTATGAAAAAATCCAGTATTCTTTATTTAGATTATTTGGATTGCTACTATTCCATGGATCTACATAGGCGAAACTAGGGATATTTTTCAGGGAGTGGAGGCTATAATTGTATCAGCAGCACAGACTGATAATTAATTTTTTGAACTAAAATATCATTAAAAAACTGGGAGGACCCTGACCCCCAAGCTCCCACCTCAATAATTGTGCCCATGTGTATCGAAATTATGTATATACTCCGCACCACGAGAGAAGGAACCCGTTTCGCGCATGCAGACTGACGGCAGCTAGCGTTACTAGGCTAGGTAACTAGACGACGATATGTCAAATAAGTGTGGATGCGCGGAGTCGGTTGCAATTTGGTCGGGACACGGGTTCCTTCTCTCGTGGCGCGGAGTATAGATAAAATACATAATATTCGTATATAATAGATTTATACAGAATTTAATAATAGCACTGCTTAATCCTTATACATAACATATAAACTCCAGTTAAATCACTTAATATAAATCAAAATTGAAATGAAAATAAAGATAGTTTATTATTGGTATTTATCCAAATAAACTTTTGAAGTATTGCTCTTTAGTTAAATGTTAGATTATAGTAGTATGATACTGAAGTTTAATCTGAAACAAAGACTATCACTACAGTAATCAGTTAAGTAAGAAAAATGCTATTATTTAATTAAACTGTCGATTGATCATTTATGTATATATTTGAAAATGGATGACTATTGTAGATAAATTTGTGAATTCTAATAGCACTTATTTATTAATTTGTTTATAAAATAGAATTTATCAATTTTCATATATAGTTCTCTCAGGAAACATATTATTAAGTATCTATAATGATAGATTAAATGTGTAAAAATGACTAATTAATCCCGCCTTATCATATTCAATGTACAAATTAAATATACAGCAAAACATAGCAATAAATTGTTTGATTTAAATAAAACTTAAGCTTTCAAGCTTTAAAATAATTTAAATTATATAAAATGCGATATTATATTGTATTATGTTGCTTGGTATGGTGCGGTGCTGCTAGTTCCCGGATGGGTGACCACCTAGAATTTTTATCTCCCCCCCCCCACACAATACCAGGCTAATGACTGGTAGTTGAAGCTTTAATTCTAATAATAATAAAAAATGAATACCCTGATATACCAATACAATTATTAATTTAATTGTGCAAGTCATTTTAAACAATTGTTGGTTGATTGGAAGCACTTAAGTATGATTTTAAATAATTTCTGGGACCCTTGTTTTAAATTGTATAATTTTTAATGCTTCAATATATTAATTTAATATTTATTATTTATTATTTGTACATTTACATTTGAATAAAAACAGAGACTCCTTAAATTAATTTCTCAGAGTTGCTTTAATTTTATTGATTGGAAATTGGATTAAAAGCTTAAAAGTTTTAAATATTAATCTAAGTTTATCATTTTATATGAATAAATGGTATATTTTACATACAATTGTATATTTTATATTAATAAAGTTTAATTTCTTTAACCATGGTATAATTGAAAAAATGAAATACATATTTTACTCGCTATTTTTGGACATAAAACATTTAATACATATTATTATAAAATGTAGAAGATTTTTCCCATAAGTGAATAATTTAATTTTAATTTAAGTATGATATTTGATTTTTATTAAGTCTTGTCCAGTAATAAGTTGTAAAATTATTGATTAAAAGTTGAACTTAAAATGTAGGAATAAATATCTTACATATTTTTCACAATGTTTTTACAGTAATATCAATGATCAAATCTTCATTAAATTAAATGTATTATATAAATGTACCAGTTAAGGATGATAGGCTAGGAAAGTACTTTTTTTACTCTCTCCGAGTTGACTAAAATTAAGTTATGGTAGTTAAAAGACATTCTAATTTATTTAATAAAAAAAATATGTTATTTTTAATAAAAAATATGTTGTTTTTAACCCATATAATCTGAATATTGAATAAATATTTAAGTTATTAGGTTTTTGGTTAGAATTACCTTCAAGATAGTTATACAATTAAGTTAAGTGAATTAAATGCTAAAAATAATTTATATTTTTAGTAAATTAAAGCCTATGTACCATATTAACAATACACAATAAATATTTCTCAAAATCATTGGTGTCTTAAATATATGTGAATATTTATTAATTTGTTTAATGGTATTTTATTTTAGCCAATGAAAGTATCAGATGCAGATCGAGTAAAATTACAATTAACTCAAAAAAATAATGAAAACGAACTCCTTCGTTCACAATTTATTAAAGCAGCAAATCAAGCAGAAGTAGCTGAAAAAAAGTTAGAGGAAATAACAGTAAGTTTTAATTATTTAAATATTCATTGTCCAGAATTGTTTATTTGATTTTATTAGTTTGATTTTATTATTTTAGGCTCAATTTAAACAGTCGTCAGAAATTCAAGCCAATGGTGTAATAATGCTACAAAACCAATTAGATACTATAAAAAAACAAATAGATGATGAAAGAGAAAAAGTCCAAAATCTACAATTCACCAATGAAGAACAAAATGTTGTTAATATTGAATTACAAAATAAAAACACTGAACTTTTAATAAAGATTAAAGAACTAGATTTTGATTTGGCTAAAGAACGAAATCTAGCTAAAGATGTAGAAAAAGAAAAAATGAAGATTTTTGAAAAAGAAGAAGAATTATGTAGAGTAAAAGAAGAGTTAGAAACTCTAAAAAAATTAATAGACAACAATGAAGATGAATTACAAAAATCAGTTTCCAATTTAAGTTCAGAAGTAGTCGATAAAGAAGCAATTTTAAATACATTACGTCAAACATTGAATGAAAATTCTCATACTCATGATCGTTTATTAAAGGAAGCTAATGAAAATTTATCTGCTACCACAGAACGGTTAACCAAAGTAATAGAAGAAAAAGAAAAAAAAATTGAACAGAATCAAGAGATGATTGACCAATTAAATGAAGGTATAAAATGTTTAAGTGCATTAAAGAATGAAGAACATGATGATATTGTAAATAATCTTAAAAACGAGTTAATAAAATTAAAAGATGAATACAAAGTAATCATTGATCAAAAAGAACAAGATAATAAACTAATTCAAGAAAATCATATCAAAATTGAAAATGAACTCAAACAAGAATTAAAAAGTTTTTCAGAAAATAAAAATCAAGAAATTGAAGAACTGCAACAAAAAAATTTTGAACAAATTGAAAAACTTGAAAACTTTAATCAAAATATAAATACAGAATTAAAAGCAGCATTAAAATCTATACAAGATCAAACAACTGTTATAGCAAATTTAGAGAAAAAATATAATGATTTAGAACTTCAACAAAATTCCACTAGAAATGAATTAGAAAAAGAACTTACTACAAAACTCAATACTGTTGAAAATGAATTAACATGTTTAAAATCTGAAAAATTTATGTTAGAAGAAAAGCATGAAATTTATATGAAAGAAACATCAAATGCAACAAACGACTTGGAAAATAAACTAAAACATAATAATACTTTAATAGAAAATCTAAATAAAACATTAAATGAGTTAACTTTATCAAAACAAAATGAGTTAGATTCTATGAAAAAACAAATATTGGAGTTAGAAGGAGAACGCTATGAATTATTAAAACGACAAAGTTTAGAACTAGCCACTAAAGATGAACTAATAAATACACTATCCAATAAACTTGAACTTTCATTAACAGAAAAACAAAAACAAGATTTAAGAAATGCTAATTTACAGACTGAATTAACAAATGAAACTACTAAGTATCAAACAACTATTAAAGATTTACAAAACAAAATTAATGAATTAGAAGTAAATATTGTATCAAATCGCGAATCATTTAAATCAGAACTAGAACTATTAAGTAATGAAAAATTAACAAGCACATCAGAAAATTTGAATCTTTTAGAAAAATTGAAGTCTCTGGAAAATTCAAAGTTGAATCTTGAAGAAAAATTAGTTTCTAATGAAATACGCATACAAGATATTCAACACTTAAATGATGTAATTGAAGAAAAAAAGAAAATTATAGATGATAATCAAATAAAAATCAAACAGTTAGATACTTTTGTCATACAAACCAAAAATGAATACGAAGTTATTTTAAAACAAAAAGAAGAAGAAATCAAGGAACTGTTAAAAATTGGAGAAGAAAAGATGGAAATAGAAAAGTTGTCGTTAGAAGAAAAAACTAAAGTTATATTGGATGATAAAGACAAAGAAAATTCAATTCTTCTCAAAAAAATTGTAGATTTAGAAAATATAAAAAAAGATTTGGAAATACAATTAGAAATGGGTAAATCACTCGAACAAGATTTGAAACAATCAAATGAAATAATCAACGATAAAATTAAAACTATTAAAGATAACGATTTGAAGATTGAAGAGCTGAGTAATTTAATTAATCTAACCAAAAACGAATTTGAAAATAAATTACAGGTAAAGGAAATTGAAATCAAAGATTTATCAAAAATAGCAGAAGAAAAACTAATCAGTGAAAAGAAACAAATTGAAAAACAGACTGAGGCAATGTTGGATGAAAAAAATAATGAAATATCCAAACTCATGGAAAAACTTAGTATTCTGGAGAATTCTAAAACAAGTGTCGAGCAACAATTAATTGAAACCAACAAAAAACAAGAAAATATGATAGCTGAACTAAAAATGTCAATTGAAGAGAAAACAAAACTAATCAATGATAATAATATAAACATTGAACATTTAAATAGTCAGATTGAACAGTGTAAAGAAAAGTATAATTCAGAGTTGAAAGAAAAAGAAGACAAAATGAAAGAGCTTAAAAAAGTAGGGGAAGAGAAATTAACCGAAGAAAAATTAATATTAGAAAAACAAAATATGGTCATATTGGATGAAAAAAATAATGAAATATCCAAACTCATTGAAAAACTTAGTATTCTGGAGAACTCTAAAACAAGTGTCGAGCAACAATTAATTGAAACCAATAAAACACAAGAAAATATGATTGCTGAACTAAAAATGTCAATTGAAGAGAAAACAAAACTAATCAATGATAATAATATAAACATTGAACATTTAAATAGTCAGATTGAACAGTGTAAAGAAAAGTATAATTCAGAGTTGAAAGAAAAAGAAGACAAAATGAAAGAGCTTATTAAAGTGGGGGAAGAGAAATTAATAGAAGAAAAATTATTATTAGAAAAACAAAATATGGTCATATTGGATGAAAAAAATAATGAAATATCCAAACTCATGGAAAAACTTAGTATTCTGGAGAACTCTAAAACAAGCGTTGAGCAACAATTAATTGAAACCAACAAAAAACAAGAAAATATGATAGCTGAACTGAAATTATCAATTGAAGAGAAAACAAAACTAATCAATGATAATAATTTAAACATCGGGCAGCTGACTAGTATGATTGAGAAGTGTAAAGAAAAGTTTAATTCAGAGTTGAAAGAAAAGGAAGACAAAATAAAGGAGCTTATAAAAGCAGGGGATGAAAAATTAGTATTAGAAAAACACAGTATGGTCTTGTTGGATGAAAAAAATAATGAAATTTCAAATCTCATGGAAAAACTTAATATTTTGGAAAATTCAAAGTCAAATTTGGAGAAACAATTGGAGATTTACAAAAATCAAGAACATGATATAATAGAGTTGAAGAGAGCTGTTCAAGAAAAAACTAAAATCATAGATGATAATAATTCTTTTGTAGATGAAAAAAATATAGAAATTCAAACATTAAAAAATCAATTACACGAGCTTGCAGAAAATAATACAGAAAAAGAATTGATGTTGAAATTAGAATCTATTATGAATGAATTAGAAAAGGAGAAACTACGGGCAATACATTTAGAGGCACAAAAAATTGAGTTGGAAAAAACTTTGTCACAACATAAAACTGAATTAGAGTTATTAGAAGTATCCAAAATGAATATGCAAGAAGATATGATTAAAACTATTGAAAAACAACAATGTCTCAATGCAGAACTAACGGCTAAATCTATAACTGAATCAGAACGGTTAGATGGTGAAAAATTAAACATTCAAAAACAAATTGATGGACTACAGGTGGAGTGTTCTAGGCTACAATCAACACTAGAAGAAAAGAACCATGAAATCAAAAATCTAAAAACTCAAATGTCTCAAGAGTTGAAGCCTGCTGTTTCTGGCAATGACGAATTGAATCAGTTGAAAGCTTTACTGTGAGTAAAAACATTAAAATTAGGTATCGAACATTAATAGAATTTGTATATGAATTATAAACTAATTATGAATCAGCACATTTGTCTATCCAACGTAACAAGTTGATCGTGTATTATAATTATTATTTTACATGATATTTGCATTTTAGTGAAAAGGGTCACAGTGCCCAATCTCATTTGGAATTCCGTGTTCAAGAGCTAACTGATGAAAACCATCGTTTGAATGAACGTATTGAAGGTGACAGTAATCTACTTCAGAAGAATCATAACATTATGTAAGTTGACTAAATATAATATTTAAATTAATTGATAAAATGAATTTATTTTATTTATTTTTTGGCAGACAAGAAAATTTCAACATTGAAAAAAAATATGAAGAAACTTATAATATTTTAAAAATTAAAGAAAATCAAATTTTAGTATTGCAAACAGAGGTCAGTATTAGAAATATTAATTTTTATTAAAAGCCTGTTTACAGAAGTGTTTTACATACAATTATGATAAGCCCAGTCCAGACTAAAGAAAATTTTGTCATTGACAACAATGTTTCTGATTTCCTGGCATAATCAGTAATATATATGTTTGTCGACAACAATGTCAGAAACTTAATATGTTTTCAACAAATGTTTCTTGATCTGGACGGGGCTTCACATTAATATTAACTAAATTGTATACTTTTACAAGATAAAATAAATAAATATTTATTATTATTATTTATTCAACACAACAGAAATCATTTTACCGTTGTACTGTTTAAGAGGACATTAACCCACATGTCTTGTCTCCTTTATGCGAGTGTGTAACAGTACAATTACCCTCAGCAGATTATACTTGGTTCTGTTAGTTTAAAAATTAGAGTGAATTGACCTCCTATGGTTAGGTTAAAAGTAAGATGATTATCTAGGGCATCTCATGAGCTTTTTATTTTAAAGAAATTTATGAGTATTTTAAGATGTACAAACAATTTACAATTTTAAAGAACTCATAAATAGTTTTAAAATTAAAATATAATAATAACCTATGAGAAGCCTTAGATAATAATCTTACCTTTAATTTTCATAAGAGTAAATTTACACTAATTTTTAAACTAACAAAGAACGTAATCTGCTGAGCGTAAAATTAGCCATGTTACTCACTTATAAGACGGAGACGACACGTGTTATGCCTTCTTAATAGGTTTATTGGAATTTTACTGTCTTCAAAGATTGAAAAGATTAGTTTGACTCTTAGTACATTTTTTTGTATTAATTATGATGTATAATAATAGTTATGGATAATATGTTAATAAAAAATTAATTTACATTTTTTATATGTTTATAGTTGAATACTTGGAAGTTAATGGATACAGAGAAATCCAAGGATAATAATGCTCAAGAAAAAACAGATAAATCTGGTAATTCATTATATTGTTTTTTGGTTCGTGATTATATTTGGATTTGATTTCTTATTTTTATTTTCAGAAGCCCATTTATTAGCAGAAAAAAATCAAGAAATTAAAATGTTGAATTCAATAATATTAGGCTTACATAAAAAGTTATCTGCTGTTATGGAAACTGATGTTTCTGAATATGAAATGTAAGCATACTATATTTAATTAAGTATAAAGCAATTATTGCAATACTTATTAGTTATTAATTATTATGTTAATGAGAAAAGTAATTCTTTATGAACAAAGACAACGTAGACATTTATTACCGTCAAATTCTTAAACATAGTGAATAAAAAATTGTTTAGGTTACAAGTTCACAATACTTGAATATTATATTATTGTTAAATTATTTCTTATCAATAATAAATATTTAATCAATGCTAATATATTTGTAATTTTCCATATACTCAGTGAGAAAAACCCTCAGAGCGTTTCAAAAGAAGATTATCAAAAATTATACAAAACAGCTAAGAACAATGTTAAACTAAAGGAGTGTGAAAATTTATCATTGAAACACGAGGTTGATTTGAATAACATTTATATATATTTATTATTAATACTAAATTATTAAGATATTTTTACCTGAGTAATTTGAAATGTGTTTTTCAGATTAATAAGCTAAAAACAGAAAATGATCGTTATGCAGAGTTTAAAACAAAATGTGAAATGTTAGAAAATGATAAAAAAGCACTTCAAAAATTGATAGTTAGTTATGATAACTCCATTCCAACAAATGTTAAAAGTGAAAAAAATGATACTAAATCCGGTTTGTAATTTCAGTATTAAAATTTAAAAAATTTAATTATTTTGTTTCATAAATATCATGAACTGTAAATGTTGTACGTTTAGAAACTGAGAAAATACTTGAGGAAAAAGACTGGCAAATAAATTTGTTGAATAATATAATTGCCGATCTTCATGCCAAGGTGTCGGATAATAAATTTAAAATTGAAGCATTAGAAACACAAATTTTAGACTCTGGAGTGTAAGTATCCAAAATATTACAAATTATAATTTAATTTTAATCTCCTTTTTGAGTTAATACTGTATATCGGTAGTTTTCAAACTGGTGACTGACCTTTAGGGCTATACTATGTTTTTTCAAATGGGTATTTAAATACTTGAATGTTATTTTAGATATTTTTTCTGGTCAGTTTTATTCTTTATTCATAACCCATAGGTCTAGTCATTTAAAATACGTAATTTTTTATATTTTTTATGCAAAGTCAAATGCATAATAATATTACTTTCCTCTGAACTACATATTATAAACAATAACAGAATTTGTGATAGGTCTACTTTTTCTTTATAGGCAACCTGATAAACAGGCTGTACGCTTTGTGTTTTCTTTAAATAAGTTGTTCTTTCTTTAACAAATTTTTGTCCAATATAATTTTATAAGTAATTGCTGTTGTATTTATTTCCAGAGATCAAAGCAAAAAAACACGTATAAGAACTACTCGTCTCTATTGTGAAACATGTGAAATATTTGATTCTCATGATACCGAAGATTGTCCTGAAAAACCAGAATCTCCAAAATTACAAAGGAAACGAAGAGTAGTTAATGATGGTTCAAATAGAATGGTTGATGAACCATTTTGCGTATGCTGTGATAGTAAGTAATTTCTTATTACCACATAAGGCTATATAGTTATTGTACTGTGAAATCTGTTATTTTATGTTACTATTGTATTTAAAATATATTAATAATGAAAAAAAAATTGTTCTGTTTAGTGTTTGGACATACAGCTGACGAATGTGATAACTCATTAACTTTTTAGTTTGGTTTGGACCATGTTGCCGCCGATTGTTTGGTATCAAAATAATTGTTTAGTAAATGTATGTTTTTATTTTTCTTATTTAAAATTATTATTCAGTAAGACTGATTTTAAGTACACTTTTAGTTATAATAGATATGCTAAGTGAGAATTATTTATTTATTTATTGCCTGTTATACAATTTAAATGTGATATTAAATTTTAGGTAGTAAGTCATACCATTGATTATGTATAGTACTATATTATATAGTTAATGGTTAAATTAGTTTATTTTATTAAAACATATTTTTGTAATATTATTTTCTTGTCAGAACATTAGTTAATTTTTAAACACTTGAGTTATGCAGTGATAATTAACTTATGTTTAAATCAAACATTAATATTGTCTAAATGAAATTCTCAATATTTTCACAACATTACTAACAAATTTTAATACTCCTCACACTAACCTTAAATTTGTTTTTAATGGTGTTCAAGACAAGATTATCAATATTTATAACTTAGCCATAAACATATTATAATACTAGTTAATTGTATGTTGCTTATAACTATAATGTTTAAATGCTATTATTTTTTAATTGAAGTATTATCTATTTATTTTTATTGCAAAACAGATATTAATATTTGTGAATAGTTAATTTAAAAAAATATATTTACTCATGCCATACATTTTAAATTGTTGTTCAAAATTGCCCTTGCATTTCAGAGCTTAAGATCTACATTTTTAGACATTCAAACATGTGCAATAACATAAACACTAGTTAAAGTATAACATTATTTGAACTTAAGTTGGTTACTGATATTACATTTAATGGACAAAAAGTTTGGTTTTAAAGTTGTTGCGAAAAGTAACATTCCAACTTCTAAATATATTGTAGCAAATATACATTACCTACCAAGCTTATTGAAAAATAATACATTTTTCTATGAATTTCAAAAAAAAAATCTAATTTATGAGAAATTTTAAATTTTAGTAATCGAATATGTGACTCGATGTCTACACTCAGTTGCGTATACACTCTGAGTGTACATACCATCATATTACTAATCGTCGGATAGGTGATTATTAACAATAAATCCTTGCTATATTATACACAAGCAGGTGTTCAAATGAACTGTTCTCTTGCTCCACAAACAGCTAAGTTGCCAGGCTTCAAAAAAAAAAAGAATTGAATATTCATCTAATAATATGCATGTATAATTGGACTTCGGTAAAATCACATTCATTGAATAATTTGGTAACTGATAAGACTCAATTTGAACGTTATACATTTCTAAAAAACTATATTCTTTACAGTAATAAACAATAACATTATTTTTAATTATGATATACAACGTAACTTTTAAAATAAAAATTATATAAAACCATGATGATGAAAAAATTTAATCAATTGCATTATAATAAAACTATAATTTTAGAAGTGAAACACATTTAACAACGTACAAATAAAATAACTAAAGGTAACAATAAAAAATAAGTGTTGACTACTCATACATAAATAAGCAAGTCAAATTGTCAACATAACAAAACGTAAATCAATAATCATAATATTATGTGTCATTTAGCGATTCATTTAAAACTATTAAAGGAGCACACTGCACACAATTTGCTAAAATCAAATGTATGATAATCAACAAATTATTATTCGGTGATGTTTGAAGTTGTATTAATCACTGTGTGAAGCAGTCACACTTAAAAATGTTGGATAGGCTGCCATGTGGTCACATAGCTATTTTTAATTTCCTATACATATTCAAATAATTAAAATAAAACGGTGGAACCTATATATTGATTTTATATCTAATAAAACTTATTTTGGTACTTCTGGGTTATCTAGACTACCAAATATTGTCTAAGTTTACCTGTTATAATCATCTGGTTTATCTCGACTACATATACATTTTGAGACTACCTCATACAATCTGATAATATGCTGTGTACTTGTAATACTGAATTAATAAATTTTAATTTTGGTTTTAATTAAGTACTTAATTTTTGTTTTAAATTTAAAAATTTTTTTAAAGTTTCAGGAGTTGAGATAACCTGAAGTACCGTTATGTTTTGTGATATGTGCTCCCTTAAAAAAATACAATTTTCTAAAAAAAAAATTCTTACACATAAGACACTGATAGATATTACCATCGTACGTGATCTTTGTATTCATGAAGTACACTAACTCTTTTGATGCTCTCATAACCTAAAATAATTGTAAAACTAAAACAAATTGATTGGACCAATCTGGCAGAAAGTCCTTTACTGAACATCAACATGCCTTCTTCTTTCCACAAGGCATTGAATGTACCAACAATAGAGTTTGTTCTTTGTACCTGTGTAATAAATTATTTCTCATTAATTTAATTTAATAGTTCATTTTATCATAGAATTGATGGTGAGATATCTATTGAAACTTGAAAACACTTTATAGGTAGTTCAACAATATTTAATGCATTAATACAACATATATTTTCATTTTCATTTTCCTGGTGCATACTATTAACATCCAAAATTATATAACATAGGTGGATAAGTTATGTCCAAATAAAAAAGATTCTGAAAAAATCATACAAACTTGCTAGCATGACTTTTTTAAACCTAGATCGTAAACTATTCATTTAACAACTAATTGGTTTATAAATTGGTATTTATTTATTTTAATGATTTATTAATTGATTGAATGTATGAAACATTTTTGAAGAATGCCAAAATGCTTAAATTCAACAAATAGAATAATAATGATCGTCATTTCACAAAAAGCAAATAAAAATAATATAGAAGTCCCAAAGTCTAATCGTTTAAGACTAAGAATTAAACCTAAAAGCTCAACTATTCTTACTTGTAATCGTGCTCGTATTGTGTCCATGGGATTAGTTATCAGAGTCGTAGAGAACCCAGCTAGTACTCCTGATATACTTTGCAAAAATAAAAGTGAAGTGTTTACTGGACACCTTTTTTCCAGTTGATCTGATCGTTAACAAAAATGTATTACAATTATTAATATCATAGAATTAACATTTTCATAACCAGGTACAATTTAAAACTGATTCACTTATTATCACATTGTTTTCATTCAATTCTATCTCGAAAATTTAAAAAAGTTACCAATTAAGTTAAGTGTTGATATAAAAATACTGATTCTCAACTAACCTATTTTTGAGTTATATTTTATTCCATGTTGTCAATAACAATCAGGCATTTCATAAATCTAATTATTTGAATTACTAGCAATTAACATCAAAATCTATTACTATACAAGTATACTAATAGACTACAAACAAATAATTAAATTTAGAAACAAATTGAACACTACAATTAAGGTTAGTTTGGTGTCAAAGACATCCAACAAAACTGTTTGTCATTATTCATATAAATAAAAAATAAATAAATAAAATATTAAGGTCATTAATAGAGTAAATATAAAATAAATAGTGTTTGAAAAATGTATAAGAAAAAGAATGCAGCTTGATGGTGTTAATTAAAACCATATAATATTAAAATAACAATAAATAATAAGTAGCAGCCAAGAAATATGTATTATAATTTATAAATAATAATATTTAATGTGGCAGAGTGCACATGAGTATGAGTATAAAATCACTCACAAACACAACTTTGACCAGAATAGAAATAACTAGATATGTCAGCAAAAATATTTTTATTACTTTTTCTACATTTCTGATAAAAAAATATCAATAATCTTCTTGTGATTTTTAATGAGTGATAATAGCTGCGAAATATTATGCGCTGGTTTGCCGACACACCAAATTATTTGGCCATGTGTAGTAAGAGCCTGAGACCAAACACCCCAAAAATGGAATTTAAATACATAAAAACCCTGGAAATACTAAAATCAATACTTAATACCATATTACTCAACTTTACAGGAATCAAAAATGATAAGCAAAAAAATTAATGAAGAATTTGCATTGTTGTGTTAGATAATAGAATACTAGATAGAACACATATTAAATTCTCTATTAAGTTCAAATTACTAAATTAAATAAAAAAGTTGATAATCATTATTTGTGTTAATGCTGTGTAAATTAACTCAATGAAATCAAAGGTTATTTATATTTTACATGGGCAATTGGTGTTTGACAAAATATTAAATGGCTAAGTGAAAAAATTCACACAACAAGATATTAGATAATTTTAACTAGTATATAACGTAACAACTTGTAGTAAATACCTTGAAATATTGTATAAAAACTCCACCATAATGCACTATTTGGTGCATAAGTGCAAACAGAGGCAACATAACCTCTGTAGAATCCTTTAAAACCATCTTGTTGATAAACACATTGAGCAATATCTAATGTGGTACGAAATTTTGACTTTGAGATGTCCAAATGAATACCCAATGGACGAAAATATATCTAAAGTAAAAATGACTCAAATTTAATATTTTAATACAGTTATCAATAAAAACATAATTTGTCTTCATAGTTCCATTAGGTAATAAAAATTAAAATGTAAAATATGAGTTTAAATTAAAAACATAAATTATAATAATTAATACTATAATTTATAAATATATTTAATGTTGAGAAAATTGTTGGCAATTAATTACTTAATTTTTTTTTTTTTACGATGATGTGTATATTTTACTATACTGCTTAAAAAAGAATAGTTAATACATCTAATTTTCGATAATTAATTTGTTATAATTAGGTATTATTTTTTATTCAATAGGTAGTAGAATGAACTACACTAAACATATTCTAGTACATACCTATTGCTAAATAGATAAGCATGTGAAGAAATCAATTAATAAATGATTTTATTTTGTTAAATTACTATAAGTATGGACTATAAATTATATGGATGAAATTAAATCTTAACGTATTATACTCATTAACAAAATGTATATAATATATCTATCTTTAAACGTACAAATATATTTTTATTATTTATGATTCAATCAATAAATGATATAATTTAGTACAGCACACTGTACGGCCATAAATATTTTATTAGTATAATAGCTATAATGGCTAGATTGTACTTAGGGCTTTTCCATTCAGGCCTTCAGTGTGTAAATATATAGTATTTATCCTATACCTAAATTCAGGATTACTAAATACAAGGATGAACTAGGCTTTCGATTAAACTAATAATAAAAAAATACATTACTAATAGAAAAATCAAAGCAATTCATTAATATTTATATGACAAAGACTTAATTACACATAAATAGTAATATCTTTTAAAGAAAGAAAAACTTGAAAGAAAATAAGTCCAAATTTACGTTTTACTTATTTTCTTAAATATTTAAAATTAAAGGTCAAAAGTACATCATTATCTAACATAATGATATTACACAACCAATAAAATTATAATATTGAACAATTATTAATTATATTTAATAGATATATCTATAATTTATTATTTCTAAGGATTTTAATTTTTAATTTATATATATGTACAGTTATTTTTATCAAAAATTATACATAATTGTATTTTAATCTACTCCTGGTATTATGACAAAATATTTATTCAAATAAAAAGAGATGTAGAGTATAAAACAAACTTACTATTTTATTTTTGTCTGAACTACTAGTTGACAAACCGAGCATCATTAAGTGTTGACTGACCACATCAAAAGGTACAATTATTGTTTGGCCGAAAACAGATGCCACACCTCCCGCAACCATTGATCTAATTTCAGGCCATTGTTGCAAATATGGAGCTGTCATATGTCTAGTTTGTTCGTATGCACCAATGTAAGCTGCACCAGATAATACTTGGGCAGAACTCACCCAAAAACCACGATAAAGTCCTGACATACCTTCCGTATGATAAATACGATTAAACGCATCCAACAAACCTAAAAAAATTGTTAACATAGTTAAAGTATATTTACATAGTAATTAACTAATAAACTATCTAATGAATAATCAACCAATCAGATAATCAGCTAAAAAAAAAAATTCCAAGTTTATTTAAAAGGTTTTTTTTTAAATGAATTCAATTCACTCTATTTGAAATGTTTATTTATATAAATACTCTACAGTTTTTAATAACAGTGTGAATATATTGTACTGATTCAAGACTTAATATGAAAAATGATGGTTGTTTTGTTTTAAATTATCTATTATTGTCAGTACCTAGATGGTTGTCATAATAAGATGGTTGGTGTATTATCGTGTACATCAAATATATACATTTTTTTTTGTTAATTGTGGAATACAGTGTATTTGAAAATAAATAATGTTACCTTTATACATTTCTCCATGTTTTTGGATTTGAAGTCTAGTTTTAATTAATGTCAATGGATAGAGAGTACAGCGAACACAAAATGAGCTTAACATACTCAATGGCAAGAATTTGGTCTTGTCCATCATGTCCCATTCAATTGTAGAGACACGTGATCTTGAAGACAACTTAGTAGGTTCAGACATTTTTCTGCTATATTTTTATAGGAAGTACAAAGCTTATATTAAATGTTAGAGCATATTTACTAATAAATTAAAAGAAACAGTTAAAAATATTTTTTTTAAACACTGATGTATTAAAAATAAAAACATTTACAGGCAAGTGCCTTTCTATCAGCATATTTAAATTTTAAATAATTAAATGCAATTAAAAATGTTTAAAAACGGTTGCAGTACAAAAAAAAAATAATTGACATTACATATTTTAATCCGAAAGTTCTCAGGACTCGACTACAACATTACTACTGATTTGCGAGTACTGAAAAGTAAATTAATAAAAATAATCTTATCATTAAAATATGATATAAATACGATATGGTATCAATAAACCATGCTTCAGTACACGGTCTTACAATATTCTATGGTATCATACTATCACTGTAACCAATAGTTTTTAGGATTAGGTGAAGACTTGTACGTGCATGGTGCATTCATAAGGTAAAAACTAAAGATAAACGATTCAAATTTTAAATTTAAAAAAAGCTTAAAACGTACTGACTACTTATAGAAAATGTCTGAAGAATTTATGAAATGCCAATTAGGCTTTCTAGGAAACACCGAAGGCTCAGCATATCTATCTCAAGGTAAATGATTTAATGATTTTTTACTGTTTATGAGCGTTTATATTTTGGTTACTTGTTTTATATTTAGGTAAAAGTACTGTTTCTGTGTCAGTTGTTGGACCATTTGAACCCAAAGCTAGTAAATGCATGTACGATCGCGCCACCATAGATGTGACTTTTAGACGAAAAACTGGAAGCATAAGTACTTATAGATTAATACTTAATATTAGTTGTGTACAAATTTAATTCAACTTTTACATTTTACAGCCGTTCATGACAAAATGTTAGAAGGTATAATGCAATCAACATGTGAAAAGGCCCTAGTTGTCGAACAATACCCCAGGACAACAATTGTTGTAACAGTCCAAGAGATGCAGGACAGAGGAAATGTATGTATAGTTTATTTTTTTAAATGTAAATCAATAATGTCTTTACAATGCTGCAAATGTTGTTTAGTTATTGTCTACCTGTTTGAACGCTTCTTGTATGGGACTGATGAATTCTGGTATTGCTATGCATCATTTGTATGCAGCAGTAAGTTGTGCTGTCACTGAAAAGGAAGAAATTATTCTCAATCCTGACGAATCACAAATAAATGTATGAAACTTAAAATCGTATGCATAAATAAATAGCCAGCCATGTTAATAATGTACAAATTTTTATTTTTTTTTTTCAGTCTTCTGTCTCATATTTGACACTAGTGTTTGCAAATTCAGAAACGAGGGGTCTGTTAACGTCACATACCACCGGAGAATTCTCACAGAAAACGTATATGGATTGTATAGACAAATGTTATGCAGCTAGTAAAGAGGTTTTTAATTTTTATAAAAATGTCATAAAAAAAAGTTCTATTTTAATTTGAATGCCTAATATTTTACCATTTGACTTTTGTTGTGTTGAATGTTGATCATGTGAAACAAAAAAAACTAAATACCTATTGTTATTTTTATATGATTGTGTAAGAAATAAATGTTCATACCTTAAAAAGCCATGATATTTAATTTTTTTTTTTTTTATTTAAGCTACCAATATAAAATTATTACAGCTTAACAATTACAACTAAAGATACATTAACAAATAACAAAACAAGATATAAAAAAGCCCAATAGAAATATATACTGACAAAAACAAAATAAAAAAACAGTCTGAGATTAAAAAAGATAACAAACTGAAACCAACAATAACAAAACAAAAAACAAAAATAAGGTTGAACAAATGTTCGAGAAAATTTAAATCAATATAATCAGATTAAGAATCCAGCATTTTCGAAGAATTTCAATATAAAAATAATAATGGCTTTTGAAAAGGAATTAAGGATGATTGTTGGTTCTAGTGACATAATATTGTTATTATGTAAAAAGCGAAGCAATTTAGATCAGGAAATAGAGAGTGATGGGCAATCGGCGAGAATGTGTGAGAAGTCACAAATAGTTTCTTCTGCATGACGAGAGCACAAAGGGGAGTCGTTTAATTTATTTTACTATATTAGGTATTACTGCATTAGAAGGTACATAGGTACTAAAATATGTATTACAGTAGGTATATGTTATGCCAAAAATTGCATTTGAAAATGTCATTGATGTAATGATGTGTGTATAAATATTATCAAATATAATAATATACCCACAAATATTTTTAAATTAAAACGAAATAACTATGCTTATTCACATTTTTGGAAAATAACTTACAATATTTTCGAAACCTGATTTTGAGTAAAAATATCACCGTTTTTTCTGACAAAAACTTTTGTGAATTCTGTACGTATAACCCATCAAAGTACCAACTAGATTTACTCTCCAACCAGAAAAGATGCTGAGGGTTGAAGTAGAAAATAGAAGCACTGATGTTTGACTGCTTTGAAACGTAATGATAGACACAAATAATTAATTTCAAAATACACACATCATTGTAAAATCAATGCATTTGTCGCCAAAATGTAAAGATGTCTAAAGTTTAAATGCATAAAATAAACATAAACAAATTTAGTAAATTATTGACTTGATTAAACATTTTAATTATTTTTCAATTTTATATTGAGTGGAGCAATAAATGTATTGATTTTACAATGATGTTATTTTTTTGGTATGTATTAAATGTTTGTATATTGTGTATGCACGAGATAAAAAGTCGAAATAATGATTTGTTTTTAAACAAAACTAAAGGGCGAATTTTATTTAGTTAGCACTTTGAATAGTTAAAAATTGAAAATTCCCATTTTCGATTTTCCAGTACTTTTCAAAAGCGTCACGAACCAGGACGTAGCCAGAAAAATGTTTAGGGGGGGGAGGTGGTTAGAGTATAAATATGTTATATTATACCTAATAAGTAATAATAAAATATGAAAATATAAAAATATAATTTAAATTCAATTAATCTTTATTTAAAAATAATTAAAGTTTATTTAAAAAATTATTCCGGGGAGGGGGGTCAACCTGGGTCAAGGGTTGATAAATTTTAATGAAATGGCAAATATGTATTGGCTCCTAAAAAGTAAGCACTAACCACTAATATATCATAATATATCCACAAAATCCTTGTACCTACCTACTGTTCGTAGTTTGTTGTTTGGGATACAATTTTTTTGGAACAAAAGATCATTGGAACAATTGTCTTGTGGTCCCGTTCATGCTTATTATTTTTCTGTTATCCATTTTGATAACTTTTATCACACGATTTGTTATCTGTGAAAATGTCCTGGTATGGCGTAAGAACACTAAGAACCAATTATTATTGTATTATTGTAGTTTCTGTTTAAATTTGTATTAATAATTTGGCTAAATTTTGATTTTTAATTAAGTTCAAGCAATACCTATTTGTATAATTAGCTAAAAAGGATAGACCTATTCCTTGATAATATTAAAATGGCAGATTCTAATAAAGGCAACGATGCAGCTCTCGAGTGGTTGAAATTGAAAACGGACAAAGGCCAAAAACCAGATTATCAAATCAGAGCTGAAATGGAAGATGTTGGCAACAAATTTTTGAGGAAATTTAAAGAAAACCCATTAGTGCCTATTGGTGAGTTGATCAACAAATCAATAATAGAGTGGATAAAAATAGTAGTTTCCTCAATTATTTACCTTTTTTTTATTAACTCTCCCGCAGCTACACAGGCCATTGGATGCTATTAGCTATTTTAAGTAGTTATGGTAGGCTTGGTACGGTTGTTGGAGACTTGTGTATGTTTGACAAGGTTTTTGCCATTAAGAACCTGGGCTGTCACCCATTCGGGAACTAGTGGCAGTAGGCGGTAGTGTACTCTCAATCACGTTGCGTAATTGATTGCAGTCACTGAACTATTTACTTTTTAATATATCTTAAAGGTCATTAGTTAATACACCAAGTCACCAACCATCCCTTCTCATACCTAGTTCAATAATTATCAAAAGAAAATAATAGTTTTAAAGGAAAAACTTTTCACAGTTCAAATAGTTTGTAATGTTACAAAGTTATAGTGTGATTCCAGATATCTCTAAAGTTCTAAAATCAGATTTTCAAGGCATTGGTGTGCTTGCATTGTATCAAATTGTGTACTTTAGTTTCCTTTACGACTAAATCCCGGCAGATTTTTGATAGTAACACAGCTCATTTCTATGTTTTCTTTCATAACTAATATCTGTAGTTCAATTACAATATAATTATATTTTAATTAAGAGTTTATAATAATTATTGTAAATAATGTTATGTTATTTTTTTTTTATCATTTTCAGGTGCATTGGTAACTGTTGGTTTTTTGAGTGTGGGTCTAAAGAGTATGTATGATGGCAACAGAGTTAGATCTCAAATGATGATGAGAGGGCGTATAGCAGCTCAAGGATTTACTGTTGTAGCTATATTGGGCGGTTTGTTCTATCAAGGAATGAGAGCAATAAAAGAAACCGAAGATGACACTCATGAGACTGGTTTAAAATAGTGATTCGTACCATGTCACATATTGTTTTACAGTTCAATTATTTGTTATTTTTTTTAGTACTTACAAGCATTTTACATAGATTATTTGTTAACACAGTAAATTAAACATTGGCGTTTGCATTTATCTAAATATATACACATTATTATATAATTAGAAAATATAACGCCTTGAATGGAAAAACAATTTTGCTGTACCTACTATAACCAATTGAAGTAGGACGTTTGAGTACTATAATCAATTTATTTCGTGGAAAATTGGTTCTATTTTTCACAGTGATATATTTTTTGTTCTACATGATAGGCATGTTTAAGGCTAGGAAGTTTTGGATTTTGCTAAAGGAAAATTGTTTCCTTATTATTTTCATACTTAACTAAATATGTATCATGTAAAGAAAATACAAATAAGAGCATTAAGATTTGAACTTAAATAAACATGGTTTGATTTCACATAAAAAGATGGAAACGCACATAAATGTAAATGTATTACTTATGATAATAAATGTAAGGGTTTCCAGATTTATTTTAATAAGATAACTATATTTTCATCATGTAAGAATCTGTTTTTTAATCCCAGAATACTGCTATAAAGGTGTGTTTTTTTGGTACATAAAACAAATTATAAACTTGGTACCTTCTTGCTAGTACTGAGTAATGTTTACATTTTTTTCAACTTATATTCTTTGAAAATGCTATAAATAAATCTCTATATATTTAAGTAGATTGTATGAGACATCTTTTATAGATAGGTACTACAACTAATTTTTGTTTACGTAATGTTTGATTATAATCTGTGATATCAATATTATAAGGCGTGTACTGTAAATTTCTTATACAAAATTAATATTATAATGTAAAAGAATATAGATAAATGTTTTAATCAAAAAAGTATATTATTGTATTGCTAAAAATGTATGGGTGGCACCTAACTACTAGCTATATTTAGTGCCTAAGAGCAGTGGCGCGGGTCATCTAACTAATCTAGGAAATGTCATAGTAGATTTTTGAGATGAGTGGCCCATGGTTGGTACTACAGGTATCCTGCTGTTGATCCAAAATTTACGTTAAAACTTAAAAAATAATGATTAAATATTACATTATGTTTGTGTTTTGATTTGCATTTGGTTGTTAAATTAAAAATAAATAAAATGTGAGTTGATGGTGACCCTTTGATGCATGATGTCATAGTATATTTTCAACACTTCAGCGCCACTGTCTAAGAGGCATAATTTTAGTTTGTAAACTTATATATTTGGGTAAGATATATAACTTCCAGTTTTTTTTTCAGTTTTTAAATCGACGACGCTGTGGGAATCGCTTGCGCATTACTTTCACGGATATAACTTCCAGTTTACATAAATAAAATATAACTTCTACAATACAACTATAATGACATAAAAAGCTTGAATATAATATTAGAGATTTTTGGGTGTGTGTAATTTACAGTGTTGGGTACTTGGGTAGTAACGTAACGAGAGTAACGCGTTACTGTAACGACGTTACTTTGTTTGTAATGCGTTACGTAATTTCATTACTATTATTTTCAAGTAACGGAAATGTAATAGAAATTACTTTTGATAAGTAATTTTTATAGTATAACGCATTACAGTTTTGAATTATTTAGTAGCTATTGGAAATTGAAAAAAAATCTTTTAAAAATATGTCTATAATGTGAGGGTTAAGAATACCAATCTAATATTATATATATATATATATATATTTAATTTGAACTATCGCCACCATGGTTTTGAGAGGTCTAATGTACCGTAAATCATGAGAATAGATTAAATTTATTATTTAATTTGATTCCTCTAAATAATATGTACATATACACGTTTCCATGAATATATCTATGGCATGGGCTATACGACATACGTAATACGTATATACCCAAACATTATTATTGGACTGGTTTATTTTTATAATTTAAAAGATATAATTTAATTTAGTTCTATTAATACGTGGTGCTATTTATCATAAAATATCGCGTATGAGCGATAAGAACTTCGAAGATACTCTATTGTGTAAAGTTAATTTAAAAAACAAATAAGTTATTGTAAAATAAAGGTTTTGATTAAGTTATTTATTTTTCTATTTATTTAATAGGTTGGTTTATGTGGTGAGTCTATGACATATTATACATTATACTCACTTATATAAGTACAATTAATTATTACAATTTGTAATAGTTATAAGTAATTAATTTTGTTATGTACTTATGCATTAACTGTACATTTTTAAGCCATACCTTTTTTCTATAGGTAATGTACTTAGTTATGTTATTGTTTCGTAAAATTATAATTGCTAAGAAATTAAAAAAAAAAATTTTGTAACGAGAAAGTAATGTAGTTACTTTTCTATTTGAAAATCAATGTAATTTTATTACAATTTTATTTGAGTAACGAGTAAAGTAACTTTATTACATTTATCTCTAAGTAACGAGTAACGTAACGTAATTACTTTTTAAAAGTAACTTACCCAACACTGGCACCACTAATTTATTAGTAATGTATTTTATGAAAAATTATAAAATTGTTAAATGTTCAGAATGTTCTCAAGTGTCTAATAAGTACAGCACTACAGCGTGAGTTTTTGTTGTGCCAGTTTTATATTTGGGAGCTCTTAACCCTCCCCCAGGTCTCCCTAGTTACACTAATGAAATAGGGCTGTATTTGGTATTTTTCATCTCGATTAAGCCTATAAATAACTAAATCAGTCTGCATTCATGTACATCATAAAATATGCTAACTTGATATTATTATAACTAAGCGATCACGGCGTTCTGTATAGGCTTTTTGGGTACATGACTGTCATGGGTCTGTTATTCTGGTATCTCATTAATAATGAATATTATGTCGATGTGATTTTTGGTACCTACATACAGCCAATTACCCTAGTATTAATATTTTACTGCAAAATAACCATTTAATTACCATTTAATTGTATTTAAACTGTACTGGCATTTATCATCAATTAGTATTTACTCATATAATAGAATAATTCATTTATGATTATTGCTAACCGGTTTTTTTTTTAGCAACTCAAATGAGAAGGCCGAGGCAACCGATCTTGATGTATTTGCTCTTATACTGCAAAACGCCTTAAAGTTCATCATATCGCCGCTTATTTTCATCGCTAGATGACGCTGTCATGTTGTAAACGTATTTTTAAGTTTGATTTTCAGATTTCCTTTATTCTCTTTTGTGACCAACTACCGGCATGCCGCGGCACAAGTTAGGATGGAAGTGTAATCTAAAATCTTACGATTTAATTTATTAAACCGACATTTCAATTCGCCAAACAGTTGCAGTAGAACCTAATACCTATAAGTTTTATACCTGCTTTTATACAGGGTTTAAAGTGGAAAAAAATTCCAGAGGGGACTAATGTCTCCATATAGTTTTTAGCATCCCATAAATAATTTTATGAATAATGTCTTATGTATAAAATCTGTTTTGTTCTCTGAAAAATGTTAAATGATTATTCAGAACAAAAACAATTTGGCCCAAGTTTACCTGAATGTTCCTGTGATCTATACGCTATAAAATATAATTGAACATTTTTGGTCAGGTTTAAAAAAAACAAAAATCGTAACAAAGTATGAATTTTTGATATTTTCAAATCAAGCACAACTTTTGTGGAAGCTATTGGAAACAATACAATTATTTCAAGGTTTCGAGTTACAAAAATGTATTCTATATTATAAATCGGAAAAGAATGATCAAAAGAAGTAGAAAATATATAAAAAATACCTATTATACCAATAACATAATAATAATAAAAAAAAAAATACAAACACAAATATTGTTGTGACGAGTTGTCGTTCTCATCTGTATAGCCATCTAGACCATCTTTCGGACGTCCAACACCGCCGAAGCCGTAGCTACGTCCGCCGAATTAGTGCCCAGACACGTGTAATTTCCCGTGTGCACGGTGGGTTTGAATTCCATGATTTGTACCCACGAGGTGACGGTAAAACGGTCTGGTCCTCCTCTGATCTGTATCGCAATTAGTGTATCGTCTCCTTTGTGCAATAAATATAATATTACCCATTAATTTATTGTATGATAAACGAACACACGAGTCGTGTTGAATACACCCACCTACTGTAGGCAATGATTAATGAAATGGTCTGTTCAATTATAATGATATGCATACGCGAATAGCCCTCGTTTGTTCAATATTCTAATCAGTCGCTGTATAATATTCTGGATAAAAGATTATAATATTGTACCTATGGCGCGGGTTTATGTACGAGTTGCACAGAATTACACTTTTGTACATCAAAATTCTTAGAAAAATATTCTGATTCGGAACACGAAATTCGAAATGCAGGTGTGCGTTTTTTTCCAAAAAGCAAAAAATTCCAAAAAATGATAGATAACAGTAAAAACCAGTGGGTAAAATAAACATGTTTGATAAATCGGGTTGTTTTGTGACGATTTACGATTTTGGCGTTATGCAAAGAAAAATCATTTTGAAATACGACGTTAATACTTTTCTAGACGATTAGACGTGATTGTCATCTTAATGAATCACTCTGCGTCTCTGCATATCGGTCTAAAATGTATATGAAGACTACGGAACAACCACAAGACATCTCCATGCTTTGGTCGAAATTATTTTCGAATTGCACATTTGTAGCGCTAAAATAATTTATTCGTTACGAGTATCTGAGTATAATATATGTATACATGTATTCTATAATATTTCTTAGTGCAACAATCATTAGACACCTCCAAGTTTTATTGTTTGATTTTGAGATAGTACAAATTTGATGTGGACAATTTTCTAACTGTCTTTTAAGCTGTATCTATAATGATATATTTTGCTAATTTTCAAGACATTTTTTAGTTTAATAGATGTATTACAAGATACACTAGATGTTGCTCCCGGGCATTCATATTGTCGTATCTGTTTTATAACATATTTAAAATATTACCGATATAGGTAGAACACCTGTAGAATGTAATATTGTATCATAATTCAAACGACAAACATTATTTACTACCATGATTACTGTGCATACACCCGGTTCGTCGGTACGACCTACTATTTTAACCATATGTTGTCTATATGTCTGTATATAAACGCACCAGAAATAAATTAAATAATAAGGATTATTTCTAAGTATATGAGTATCATAAAGTAAAAAATATTTCGTGGTTGTGACTTAATATAATATAATGAATAATGGTCGGACTATTGAGATGTAGATAATTAATTATCGTTTCTGGTACACTGCCTTGGGTCATTTATGCAGTACTTATACAAGCTATACAACTATCGATCGATTAGACTTCAATGATATCGAGCTTAAGAATATTTATTCGAAGATTGATTGAAATTATTTCTATGGATGTACAACAATACCGTAGTTGTATAAAAAAAAATTATTATAATTCAGCACTATTTAAATTAAAAAAATATAAAACATTTTTTTTTTTTGCTAAGTTGCGTACCTACCTATTAATTATTGTCGATATCTCACAGAATCAACACATTAAAAAGACATCATTAATTCAACTATTAGATGATAAATAATAATAATTATTTATACTACATTCAACATATTATATTAGAAAATATTTTATAATTGAGTTCATATAACGACCATGACAATTCATCAGAGTACTACAACATGTACACTACATTATATGATATAAGTGTCGTGGTGTGTCACACCTATGTCAAGCAGGCCGTTAATAATTGTTCTTGCAGATTGTTTTAAGGAAAAAAAAATCAAACCTGGCAACCATTTTGTGATTCCGTATACATCCGTAAATCGCCAGCTAATGCTAGGCACGGGATATCCATTGACTTCACAATCAAACACCACAGTGTGCCCGACGGAACCAGCCAAGTTCTTGGGTGCTGACCTAATGAAAGGGGCTGAAAACGAAAACAATTATACAGTATATCTTATGTACACTTTATAGGTACGCAGTGTTAATATTATAATCTATCGGAAATCCGCAATTGTGCGTGAATATTACACGAAAAGTGTTCGCATACCCTTTTTTTATGTAATATTCAAAAAATTATCGACGGGTGATCTATAAATCACCATAGAGCTAGGTTCTTCGTGAATGTTACATTTTGTATAGAGTTACACGCGCATGATATATTCCGCTACCCATACATTCAAAATATCCAATTTTATTCAACAAAGTATAATATTACTTATCACTGTTCGAATTTTTAAGCCCCTCACCAAGGACGCTCGGTGAGTAACTCGGTAAACGTCGTATATAGCTAGGTATATTATTTTATTTTTGTTTTAGTAGTCAGTAAGAGGAAAACCAAAAAAAAAGTGACATATCATATTAAATATTAAAGTCGTGCAAGTATATAAATCTGTTCATATGGCCTGCACTATTTGTTGAAAAAAAAAAAAAATAAATAAATAAATAATGAATAAAAACCGTTAAAAGGGAATAATTGATGTCGCGTAAAGCTCGGTTGAAAATCAATAAGTACGTATAATAGACAATAATACACGCGCGCACTCACAAGCAGTAAGCGCACACACACACACACACACACACACACACCTTGCACGACACAATGTTTAAACTTGTTTGATGACAGATTTATAAATTTATGTGTGTACGTAACTTATGCGCTCGCATTACGTACATTATTGTATTCCAGTGTATTCCATCGCACATACGCCGGGCCGAAAACACTCGCGAGAACGAGAGAGACGACGCGGTATAACATCACGTGAATCGAACGGAATCGAATTAATACGTTTCCGAGGGATCGTTCAAACGTTAATATGTCTACACAATAATAATATGTAATATTACGTTATGCACGCGCGAGTGTGTGTGTGTGCGTGTGTGTGTGTGTGTGTGTGTGTGTGTGTGTGTGTGTGTGTGTGTGTGCGTGTGTGTGTGTGTGTTTACCCGACTGACACGGTCCCCGGTATTGCATCCACAGTGGTTGCGGCGTCCCGTTGTAGCCGACCGCCGCCCCGTTCAGCTGACACATGTTCGAGTACGTCCTATTGTCCGACCCGCACACCGGATCCGTTTCCTTGCACGCGCACCGGTACTGCACGCCGCCGCCGACGTCTTCCTGTGCACATAATAATGATATAATACACCTATATCGTATGATATGATGCGACTGCGATGGTTTTCATCGATTTTATATAACATCATCGTAACATTGTACTGAGCTTTACATCGTTATTATAATATATGCATTGGGGGCCGGCTTGCACAGTGCACAATATTATGTGTATAATGTGCTATCCCGTACGCTTAGGTAGGTAATATTATTATTAAGAGACGTTGTACTACCTGTGTACTGATATTTATCTTACGCAAGACGAAATTGAGGAGATGGTCGGCCGGCATGGCGTGCTTAGCGATGACAAATAAAATCGTTTGATTACCACATATTATAGTATACCTAATCTAATGATATAGTTTTTAAAATCCATTTTATGACATAGTTTTTCTTAAATCTGTATGCATTTTGTACTGCCAAAACCGCTCTATCTAACTAATAATATGAGAAATCACAAATTCGAGGAGTGTTTCTCAGTTCTACCGACTATTTATCAGTCATCTATAAATGTTAAAGTTGAATGTCCATAATACGAGGTCTGTTCAAAAAGTACCGGGATTTTATTTTTAATAAATTCAAAAGTTAATTTACACATTATTTAAAGATATCATCTTCAAAATACTCTCCTCCGGACAAAATGCAATGGTCCCAGCGTTTTTGCCATTTCTTGAAAGTCCATGATATTATGAGTAACAGTCAGGTTTGGGATTCTATGCCACTTAAAATTACAAAAATATGTGCTAAAAATATGCAAGGTTAAAAACAACAATGTATGCAAAAATTAGAATTTTAAAACAAAGTTATAAGCATAAAGCACTAGACACTAGTTAAGGAGTGATAAAGAATAACCAAAATACGTTCAGCTGGAAACACATAAGTATACCTACTAGGTACGAGCACACTAATCGAGTAGTTGACAATATTCATATAGTTTATCAGTATATCACCAATCGCAGCCGTTATTATGACAAAAAAGGAGCCCATCAAAATTAGCAAATAACAAAAATTTAAAATCAAAACCAAGTATGTAAAAAATACGAAATGATTGGTCAGTGCGTCCACGTACAAAGTCGGTCTATTTTACTTATTCTACGATTACTTTTAAAATAAGACAATAATCAAAAACACCGCCATTAAAATGTTATTTCATAAAATATGAACAATATTGATTAAAAAAGTCCTAAAATGTCCAGAAATAGCACTAAAATCTAAAAATCACAAAACAAGCATAATAAAATGCTTAATTTAAATTCTTTGAATTATGAAACAAATTTTAAGCTTACTCTGCCATCTTTAAGAATTTTATGAGAAATATGCAAATGCTATAAAATTCTAATCCACAACCTCGGTTATCCATTTCAATTAATTGTGGTGCTAGTACAAACGATACAAATAAGGGGATTCGTAAGACTATGGGGGACGGAGGACATAATCATTAACCTCCCTTTGGGCACTTCACTGAGTAGAACCTACGCATTAAATGTTAATGCAAGTAGATATATTACTATAAATAATAATTACAATTTATTAGAATTTGGTTGCAGCAAACTAGGTAGTGTACAATTATTTTATGTTATGGTAACTTTCAAGACTTCGATACGGTTCACTGCAGTTTGAGTTTGATAGACCGCAGAAGTCTGGGAAGTTTTAAAATAAGACTACCTACCTTGAAAACTATTTATTGACTTTAAGTTTATGATGTCAATATAATATTAATACAGCTTTATCGTTAAAATTGAATTCGATTTCGAGTTAATTGATACAACTTTATACAGCGTGCACGCTCAAATTATTTTAAAATATGAACAGAGGACAATTTAAATATATGATAGGTTAAGTATATTATTTATACACATATTAGATTCTGAGCGAAGCAAGAAATTTATTAGTCCTTCAGTGATGATTTCATATATAAAAAACAAATTTTATTGTTTTAAAAAAATACCTAGTAAAAAATATTGCATAAAAATTCATACTGCATAGTCTTACAAGAGCTGTATTATAGTAGATAGGTAGACGTAGGTGAACAGTTAGTAAAATATAATTAAATCCTCGTAAGCAGGGGTATAATACATACAAATGGGTGCACCATCGCAACTTATATATGTACAGTATCAACTTTGGTCGTAACGAACATATTAGTTATGGACAACCTTTAAAGTTTAAACCTACTACATAGGTTTTAATTTTTCATAGGCTAATAAATATATTATATATATACATATTATACAGTGTATATATGCCCTATACTGCTTAAAAACTGTCATCACAGTCCACTGCAGTGCAAAAAAATATTATGTTTCCAAATCCTTCCACACAGTTCTCGTTATTATTATATAGATAGACAATTTTTCTTCGTTAAAGTGATGATTAAAAAAAAAACTTAAATCCCGCTGAAGTGTGCCGTATGCACGGCGTGTTTACAGCCTGTCCCCCCCCCCCCCCCAAATGCTCATAACATGTTGTAATTTTGTATGCCGATCGATCGATCGACTTGTATTCGTGACACATGGAATATGTGCAGTGTGCAGTATATAAATATAATAATTTATAGTACCTTAATACTATGACGATGGTAATATATTATGATATAGCAGCGACGAGAATGCATCACTGAGTTTAAAAGATTCCACGTGTTCGGGAAAAAGCGATCGGCGTGGAACGAAACAAAAAACATCAAAGAGAAATAACGTGCGTCTAGGGTCTACACCGCAGCCGAGTAAGTGAGTAGGCGCATATACATATATTATATATGTATATTGTATACGTTATATTATCGTGTTTATAATATCAACACGACAGCCTGTATACAGGAGAAAAAAAAACAAACTCGTCGCCACATCTTGTTCTTGCAGGGGGTGATAATAATATAGTATAGTATTGTAACCAACTGAGCGGAGGTGCTTGTTCGTTATAATTATTTATATTACGTTTAATATAAATATTATAATATTTAATATCACACCTTCGCTTTTATTATTGATTTTTTTTTTTTACATTGTACGGGGTTTTTCCGTCTCTGCATACATTTCACAAAATATTATTAATAATTATACTATAATATTTAATGAATACTTGTACATAGTATATGGTTATAATGTTTTATGCATTGTACTTAGTCAAAAATCAACGATTGTTTTTTAATTTCTCATAATAATCTTTTATTTAATGTCGTTTATTATGCAGAACTGTATATAATATTAATTATACCATTCCATCGAAGCTTACATAATATTTATATAAGTAGGGGCGACCTGTGTACTTAGGTAGTATATTAACAGTCAGTAGGTATACCATATCACCATGCAAAGTGCAAATACCATATACCTGCGTCTTAAAATAATATTATGCTGCGTTGTGTGTACAATAACTGTCTAGAATTCACACCAAATGTTAATAAAATCAAAAATGTATAAAGGGTAGCTCCGGTTACAGTATTGGGTATAGCCCATATTTTACAATTAATTTAAATTAATTTACATTAAATTTAAAATCAATATTGTCACGAGAAACGACAGTGAAATACATATAGAATCATTTCATTAATAATATTTTGCTGTCTGAGAAATTAAATATTCCCTGGGTAGGTAATGATTATTGTTAATTCTCCGAGATACGAGCACTTTGATGTGATGTATGTTATGACTTATGACGATCACGTATGAGCCATGAGGCGAATAATGATAACATATAAAAGCGGCTCTTTCGCTCTCTCCTTAAATAACCACCTTAAAATGTGAACTAATATACATGTATATATACCCACAGCTCCGTGATATTGTGATACCGCTGCGTATTTCGGAAGCTGTACACGATTTTTGTCACAAACAAATTGCTTCATATCTGATGAGTGACGAGGCGTGTTATTAATACGTATATTTTTTTTCTCAAAAGACTGATGATATATAAATATCGGTTCAAAATTCCGAACGTGAATACACATAACATTATTTTATAAACATTAAACAATAATTTAAAACAATTTATTTAAAATGGGATTTATGTTGATTAATATATTATTACATAGGTATTTATAGTAAAAGTAAACACCGCCCTAGAATTTTTGTTAAAAGTAGGGCATATATAGGTAACTATATATAATCACACGCATAAACGCGGCCGTGTTCACCGAAGTTATACTGAAATACGTGATGTAAATTATAATTAAGTCCATATTATAACAAACGTCGATATGGACGATATTTGCATATTTTACAACCTGATATTTTAAGAGGACTCCTCTTGCGTGCATATTGTGACATTGACATTGTGTTGTTTTCTAACGATCATGTATACACTGCAGGTACGTGCATGATGCGTATATGTGCATAAAACGCATTTATTTACAATCATGAAGAAAAAGTGATCAGACGATGAAAAAAAAGATCGGCCTGCTTAAAAGTTGACACCCCTATTATGCAACTTAAATTACGTCACTGTCGTAGCTTAAGTGCCTGACATTGAAAATGTACCTTCAGTAGTTCTCATTTAGCTTCGTTAGTTTTAACATTATAGTGTAAAATTACCTATTATTAAACTTAAAGCCATTTCGTGTTTAGACTGTCGGAGGTGTTATTTTGATAGTTAAATGTTGAAGTGAATTATGCGTAAGTAGCTTTTTTAAATTGTAATAGATATTTAATTGTGTACGGTCATGACTCACTTCAAAATTTTAAAATATCGGAAAAGAAATAATTCAAGCTAACGCCGGAAAATGTTGTTACTTTTAGTTAAAATGTTAAGTACAGGTTGAAATTCTACACTCTGATATTAAAACTAATTAAGTGAAACGAGGGCGAATAAACCTAAATTTACTTCAATTTATTACATGTTACGCACTAGTAAGACGTAGACAATACGCATGCGCGCGAGACGTCATCTGCTTAAACATAATTTATAATCACAACGTCAAACAGGAGTGGTGTATACATAGTGGACATTTGGGACTGTGGGAGGACAAGGCTAACTAAAAATCGAAATTTATATTAATGTCTTTTTGATGATTTTTCTAATTTTTCATTCTACGATAAGGCCCACAGTCGAATGCCGCGAATATCGATCATAAATGTATTACGAGTGGGCAATGCACGTAATAAATATTACTTTTTACATATATTTCTATATTATAACATCAAATATCATATTCATGTTTAACTTCCTGAGCATCACACTTATGCAATGGATACCTATGATCTATTTTAACTGTACCTACGTAGTTATCCTCGAAACCTTCGAAAATCTTGCAATCTAAGTAGTTACTTAGGTATTAGCCCTTTTGATCTCTTAAACAGTTTAAATGCCATATTGGTAAACTATCAAAACAGTATAATACATAACATTATGTAAAAGCGCTGTATAATATCGATTTATATTATTTCGGAATTTCTTATAGCATATTACATATAGGTATAATACGTACATATATATAGTACCTATATAGTACATATATTATACTACAATTGGTACTTATACTTTATCATATTGTTATATTATGTTATTGGGTAAAATATAATATACTTTATTAGCCGTAACCGTCTGAAATATAGACTAGAAATAGGCGTGGGGGATCAGAGACGGGTATTTACATTTTCGGCGCCCTGGAGCTCCAGTATTTGATGATATCCTCCCCCATCCCCGCCGATACCAACGAGATGAATAAATAACAATCAGTGTCCTGTGAATTTATCGCCCGAAGCAGCCCGCATCACCATTGCCCACTTTGAAATAAGCCTCCGGTCTGTATGCAAGTAGAAAATATATATGCAAGTAAAAATAAAATGACTCCTTCGCAGTGCGTGTATGTACGTATATACACGGTTCCACCCATTTCGGCGCTATAAATCTTGAACGGGCTTCACTGTATTAATAAACGGCTGTTTACTCTAAATGTCTTGTGCTTGCGCAACGCGTACAGTACTATATTATATAACACAATATATATAAATATAATACAGCCGAAAGAAAAATATATATTATTTTTAATTTTAAGCAAACAAAAGAATTAAAAACGACGCTATTCAGCAAAAAAAAAAAAAAAAAGAGAACAGTATTTCAATAGCAATATTTATGGCTTGATTTTCATGAGTTTGCTCAACCCACTCAAATGAGACCAGATAAAAATGAATATGTATACACGAAAAAATAGAAAAATTAGTGCATCTACGGGGGTGTCATCTGTCCTGTCACTAAGTGGGCTAAGACTAATATGTCGCGATCGTCACGGAAATAACATTTTGGTTTATAAAAAAAATCTTTGACATTAATGTGTTAACGTTTAAGTTACATACCTAATCGAGTATCATAATATTACATGCAAATAAATTGTTATTTTATCTCCGCGCCCACCCATGGGAACATCTCTTTCCCACCACTGCAGAATAGAAATAACCATTCAAAACTAAATGCTTACGTCATGCCCTTCAGTTAAGCATATTAATTTCATAATCTAAATATACATGATAAATTATGCGGTGGAGGTTTGATACGAATATTTACGATTATATGGTACATGTGGATGGTGCCTATAAAGCCTGGATAGTCGTGCGATTTATTATATATAAATATCAGTGTAGTATCTGCTCCGTAGATGGAAGTGCACTAAAAACGACTTACCCGGCGCGCTAAGGGTTATTGCGACGTTTGTCGAACAGACATTAATGACGATTTGTTTCCCCCATATTATTATATGTATACAAACGCGCGTGCGGATGTCGCTTAACCCGGAGGTCCCGAACACTATGTATTGTATATACATAAACACATATTATATATATATATATATATATATATATATATATATATATATGTACTTAACAGTTACGTTTTATGACCTCTTTTTCCTATTCCTAATAATAAATTGATACGGCATCGATTTTCAGGCAGCGCACGCTGATATATATTGTTACAACGTATTCTATTCCTAAACAAAATCGGACACTATCTTTTTATAATTGCGCTGCAGGTAAATCATATTATATCATGTTTTGAAACGGCAATAGGACGCAAAATAGCTCGTCGTTAAAACGTAAAAAAAAACATTGGACCCGGGCAAGCTATGAATGGAAGCTATGTATATCGCTAAATAATACGCGTACTTGCACACCGACAAAATATAAATTGAAACGATGGGAAACTTTTTGCAGCTTTTACCTTAGCTTTTTTCTGTATTTGTATTTTTTAACATTGTTCTATTGCGCTATAACGTAGATATGGAGGGTTGGTTTAAATATCGATAGGTACATTATAATATCTAAATTTGCAGGACATAACCAACATAATTCTGCAACATTTTTTTAATAAGATCCAATTCGTCAGAGACTGAAGCATTCCCTGCCTATCTTATAATGATATATCGGTATACCCGACATACGTATATGATTCGATCGTGTGTAATATATATGTTTATATATGTGCCACAAGAGTATAAGACGTTACACAAGAGTGTCTGCTGGCAAAGTGTTAAGGGCTCGCACAGTCAAACAACCCAGAGTCAAGAGTGTGCGATATAATATGGTGGTGGCCGGTCGGTGTGTATAATACTGCATGGGTCACGGGATATGCGTATACAATCGGTGTCATCATAATATAACGATTTACGTCCGGTAAAACCCATACTTACACGTTCAACCAGAAACCAGATAAAAAAAAAAAATGGAATTCACGACACAAGTTTACATCGTATGCTATTATAATAGCATATACCTATGCATTTATGCATATTATAAAATATAATAGCTGCAGTAATATAAAGTCAGTCTACCGTCGGCAATATAAATATCCACTATTACATTATAATAATTCGTTCAGGTGTGGTTAAGGTTAAAAAAATAACATGTTAATGTATAAGTTATGGAGATATGGACTTTGCTCATATTCGCCAATATCTGGAGAGGGAAGACCAATAATATTTTTGTCATAGATATTTTTATTAATATAGTTATGGACAGTGGTGGATTCAGGGCTAAGCATAAATACAACCTTTTTTTCAAAGGTAAATAGCATGCATAATATAGTACTATGTATCTACAAAATTTCTTAAAATTTGCATTACATATTGCCCTTGGTTATATAATACTTTTACAATACCCGCTCAGTTATTAGAAGTCTGCTTTTTAGGCTGGTCACAGGACTCATGTTTATTGTATACTAATATTGTCTTCAAAATACATTTTAATAAAAATGGGAATACTTAGGGTTTCTTAGTTATAATGGCCGTTTAAGGAACAAAATAATTTTTTAATAATCTCCGATAAATTTTAATTATATTTTCATTTTTACCCTATAATAAGTTTCTAAATGTACGATGAAAATGTCGAGCATGAAGTGCATAAATAAATAAGACTAATATTTTCTGCAGGTGCTGCACCAACTACAATTATGTATATAATTGTCAACTAATATTTTTTTTCTGTGGCTTAAAAACTTTAACTCGAAATCTTAAAAAATACTGATCAACTGGCAATAAAAGAAACTCCACGATTTGGTTGAAGCACATTATAGTGTATATACAAGGGTTTCTGCGGAAAACATGTCTAGACGTGCTGAAAAATCGTCGTAGCAGCCATTATGACATATTATTTATATTGTCAGAGACAGAAAAGACCTTACTAAGTGTCAAAGTCACAATATATTGCACAACCGAATAGGTAGCTTAATAGTAATATTATACAGGGTGATTTGCACCATTTAATTCTTTAGTAATGAATTTATTACGAATTATGATTTTTTAAATAATTGTACTTAGGACCATATTTAAAAAAACGAAGCTTTTTATGAAATTTAAAGAGTAGTCTTCAGTGGTGACATCAAATTCACTTTTTTCAAATCATAATTACTTTTTTCCTCTATAAATTAATTAACAGTTTATATAGTAATAATCACCAATCAATAGTAAATAATCCATTAGCATTTATGTAGTAGGTATTTTTAAAAACTAAAAATTGTTTAAATTTAATAATTATTACATTTAATATGCGATTGTAAGTTATATTATGTGAAATCGTTTTCAATATACATAATACTTAGATACATTTGAATGGCTCAGAAAGATCAGAAACTGCTCGTCAGAATTTTGATTTAGTTACATGAACATTTAATAATTTATAGGAAAAAAGATTGGTTCTCATTAAAAAAAAGTCAATATCACCTATTTGAATGGTACGCAAATTTAAGTATTTAAAAATAAGGTCCTTTTAAGTAAAAATGACGGTGAACATATACTTGGTAATTCATCCTGCAGTAGATATAATATATACTCTCATGCGATGATAATTATTAATAATAATCATTTATCATAATAATAGTATAATATGGTTATAGTATACCGTCTTGACGCACTCCAAGTTTTCAGCGCACGGCCGGTCCGCAGCGTTGCACAAGGCCGTTTCGCCCAAGCCGCACAGGCCGTAAGGACAACAGGCGCACGCGTCCGGCACCAGGCCCAGCGGACAAGCGTTCGGGTCGTGGACGGGACACTGGACAGAGGCGCATCCGTCGTCCGGACATTGCGGTGGTGGATCGGCCACGACCGGACCTCCTCCAACGTCGCCACCGCCACATGCGGTGGCCGCCAACGCCATGGTCAGGGCGAACGCTCTACAAAAACGGAACAGCGAGCACGACAAGCGACGACGACAGTCCATTATTATAAAATAATATTAATAGTAACAACAATAATAATAACAATATATACTCAACGAAATTCCGGCAGTGACGTTAGACTGCAGTTGTTCCGGCACGTGATGAGCCTGCGGAGCTCCGAGACGGTTTCTCCCACCCCGCAGAGCCCTCTCCCCTCTTAATATCGCCAGCGAACGAGCGATCACGATAATATTCTCTGTGCATCGTCGTACGTGGGTTTCCCACGGGAATTAACATGCTCGTTCGAAAAGGACTCGCCTACGCCGGTATTTTGACGTTTCCACGTCTCCTGCGTTGCTGCAAAGTAATTTACGTTCAGCCTTATACCGCAGCACCGTGTTTAGAGATTTTCCGCCCGGGAATAACAAGGAAAAAATCACCAACTGCACAAAAAAAAAAAAAATTTTCATAATAAAATCAAGTAGCTTATACTACACCCATAATATGTTAAACAATTTAAATTTTCTATTAATTATTACTTACTCTCGTTAATTATTTTATCACAATACACGTATATGGTAGACGTTAAGCACGATAAATACGAATACAAACTAGACATTTTGAATTTCGTCGAATCGGAGGCATCGGGAGCAATTATTCGACCATGCATGATAGTTCGAGTAGAATCGTTCGTTTACTCGTCGTATTCGTAGTGTTTAAGTAGGACGTCGTGGTGTAAGGCATTTACGCTAATAATAATGACAAAATCGTAAGTTGTGTGTGACAAAGAGTTACGAAATATAAAAATGTATTTAACTTTAAAAGTAGATAAAAGATGCATGGAGTTACTATAATGTATAGAATTAAAACAATTAAAATTTAAAAAAAAAGTATCAACACCCTCTAAATTAGCTTGGGGAGCAACGGCCTCCTGTTATACGTATACTCCCCCTCTCAATAAGACTCTGGCCTTGCACGTTTATTTCAAATGGCCAAAATCTGGAGGGGGAGGGTTCGGATCCCCAGACCCTCCACCTAGAGGCCATAAAAAATGTATTGATATATATGTGTTTATTCTAGAATATTATAATAATCTTCTTTTTTATGCTTTGTATAATAAAACGCTTAATAGTTACTCAGTTCGGACAATGGGCCAGTTATAAACACGACTGGCTAGTGGTTGCTAAACAATTCTGATTGAAAATAAGTAATATAACGAAAAGTTATAAAAAAAAACTTCTATGCGGATGAAGAATCAAATAATATGAACGAATAGATTTGTATAACATTCAACGATATCGACGACACCGAGTAATCGCATCCGGGGTGGACTGGAGGCATTGGCGAACCATAATAGCTGCAAACCAGGAGAGCGCTGAGCGCCCATCGGACGCTTGCCGGGTGGAACTAGGAAGTCATTGGAACTTTGACATTTGTGAGTGAAGTCCGTCGTACAGGTACAGCTGACAACTTCGCCAGTCACTGGAACGGAATTCCAAAGCATTTTGAAGAATATACAATCTATTGAAGAATTTTAAAATTGAATGCACAATGTGGTAGATAATTAGAAAAATTAACAATGGTTAATATATAACGATAAATAAGCTGTCAAATATTTATTTAATGATTATAATAATACTGTTATTATCATGTTTTTACATCATTGTGATAACGAAACTATGAAAAACGTTTCGTAACGTATGGCACGTCTAAATATCATATTAATTTTGGCTGCTTAAATGTCGTTTAGTTTCGTTATAGTTTCTTTTAACCGTACTTGCCATTCGCACGTACCTATATAATATACCTATGTCTATAGACTATAGGTACCTATCTAGTTGTTTCTGTTATTACCTTCACGTATTATGGTTATTGTAAACTCATATCTACTGGTTAAATTGTTTCGAATAAATGTTAAAAGTTTCGTTAGTTTTAATATCAGAGTGATAAAAATATAGTACATTTGTGATTTGTACCTGTCAAAAATTTAAATGCAACAACATATCAACATCATCAGTAATCTCTCACCGTTTGTAACAAAAATCTATTTTAACGCGGACCACTGTTTCGTTTTTGGGCTTTTGCAATCACTGGTCGAGGGTGGGACTGTGGGTGTATAATGTATAGTGACTAGTGAGACTTCAATGCGTTTATGTCCTTTACATTACATATATTATATGCAACATACATAATAAAGTGTGTGGCTTGGCGTGGTGCGTTGACTGCTATCAGTCGCGGAATGTGACTGTGAGTAAGTAACGGCCACAGCTACTTGCTCCCGGATGGGTGACCACCCGGGTTCATAGTCGTTAAAAACCTTGCATACACGTGTTCACCATCTACCGTAATAACCGGAACAATCGTAAAAACAAACCTACCGTACCAACATTACCCCTACCACAGTTCATAACCCCTACAACAGCTAATGGCCTTAGTCGCCGGGCTTAAGTTCAATAAAAAAAAAAATTATAATTAAGTTTCGAATGGAATCAGCTTATGAATTATGATCGTAGAAAGTAGTGTGTCTTCATGAAATGGGGGAAAAAATGAATCTCGTCAAGACACTATAGTCACTATAAATATGATATAATGTATAAGAGGCAAAGCGTTAAATTCGAACCCTTAAGTTATTAATTTTTGTAACTCTCGTACCCAGGTCTTAGTTACTTGTTTCGGATATTACACAAACATTAATAATATACGACGGCGCACGATGGTCACGATGACAAACATTATATTAATATAATAAAATACATATAATTGCTAACATATTATATATTACACGCTATATTCAACTGCTGCAGTTCTGTGCTGGTGGAGGGTGAAGTGGCAAGGACGGAAATTAGCACAAAGGCACACGAAGTGTCCGGAGGAAAACCGCGAGAAGACCGAAGAGATGACCGCGACAATCGATCCTCAGCTGCAGGTATATAATATATATACATATATATTCGTCGTGTGAAACTGCTGTGCAGTACTCTATCTCACTCTGTACCCTGTAATACACCTATATAATAATATGTATATATGACGTCCTGGTGGATGACATTTTCGTGTGGGGTTTCGAATGACAGGAGCCGACGTAATAATAATTGGATTCGTCGGGAGGGTGGTCGAGTTTAGTACTATATTTTCTTTCATGTGCAGGGAAGAGGACATTTGATATATATATATATTTATAATGTTGTGTTATACTATAATGTATAGAACTTAAACGAGGGCGTATATTATACGCAATACAATTAATATACTATTTATCTCTACCACACACTTTATTAAATGAACAAAACCGTATTGCGTTCAACTCTAATATCATATAATATTTAAGTCGTCTATAGTACCTATACATTAATATCAGTGATAAAAATAAGAAAAGCTCAAGGAAGTGGTATACTTATAATTTATAAAGACTATAATATAGTCTACCGCCTCTACAGACTTACTGACTTACACCTCCGCCTCACCAAAGAATTGACTCTAGTAGAATTAACTCGAGCAATACGATAACTGCAGTATAATATTGTGTGCGTAAGTGCATTAAAACACATTATAATTCAACTGCTATACGAGTATTAAGACCTGAGTTAATTAATGGACAAATAAATAATATTTGAATGATTCGAGAAAATTGGAAAGTTATATTATTATATTATTAAACACCCATAGGGTAGAAAGGCACGTATAGGCAAATGTGCATTCTGTTGATATTTCCGAATGGCAAAACGAGTGACATCGAATTAGAAATAATTTTCCGTCAAAAACCGTAGTCAGGGAATGACTATTAACATTTCTTCTGCAGTTATGTGTGGAAACTTACTCTATAATGAGGTATTAGAAAATTAATTATTATATACACCTTAAAAATTTACATATAATAATCATTTTCAAAATTTGTTAGGTATTTTTGTTTTTTTTTTTGTGATTGAAGTTAATTAAATAAAAAATCGCATTCTTCAATAAAAGATTATTTTTAATGGATTTTTGAACATCTTATTCGTAATATTTTTAATGCCCGAAAATCCGGTCAGAGGGTCTCTGATAATAACCATGTTTCCATTGCGTTCTGCGATGTTTCCGACCATTCTCGTCCCTCTGATTCTATTATATTATATTATATTAATATCACAATATACTTGTCCGCTAGCCAAATGCTCCACAGCTCACGTGATTTCATATTGTGAATGACTTTATGGACTGTAACTTATTTAGGCGTAGAAGTAGGGAGATCTTTATTTAAATTCCCACAGTTAATATCCCCTCGTTGCAGCGTTCATATACGACACAAGGAAATCTCAATGCAACGATAGTCACGGGTGAATAAACAGCGAGACTATACATTATACACTTATAAACTATATAATTCGTTCACCATAATGTTGACTATGGAATTTGTTAAATAAATATTTTTGAAAAAACCCTATTATTTGTTACCTATTATATCAAAAACTTTATTAAAATATTCTCACTCAATGTTATAATTGTACTTGTTAAAAAAAAATATAACCATTGTACAATTACTGAATTAATTGATCGTGTAAAATTATAAGCAACGGCTTACAACTAATAAATAATGTCCCAAAAGAGATTTGTATTTTGAACTAAAGAGTAAAGTTTTTTTTTGTATATAATACATTAAACTAATCATGATTCAATTCATCATCATTTTTGTAAGTGAACAATCAAGATTTGATTTTTTGGTGTACGTCATTTTTCATTGACGCAATCAGTGTATCAATGATTTATTTATAAAAAGCCAATAAATCAGCTATATAGCTATATCCAACAATTTTTTTTTCATTTGTGTAACATGATTTCTATACTGATAAGTGATTCGTTTGATTAAATTAAATCAAACAACTGAAACGTATTGATTTATGAAAAATATATTATGTATACCTAATATTTTTACTTTGGTTGAATTTAAAGAATAATAATAACTCTTTGAACTATTTAAAAATTAAAATCATGTACTTTGTTTTAAATACCTAATTTTAGTAATATACGATTTAATATAGGAGGAATTTAACAATTGTTTTTTCTTACATTATCTTATATAGATAACTCATAGAATCCTTACGTTAAATATATAATATATATATTTTAATGTTTGTGTTTGAACTATAATACCGCTATAGAGTATAGACATTAGACAAGTAATTGCATGTAAAACTGTAAAGGTATACCTATAAGAGGAAACAAACAAATTTAAAAGTACCATTGAGCTTTTTTAAACAATACATCTTGAAAACAAATCTAAGGATAATATATATCTTTAGAATTGTTTGACTACCTATATTGGAAATGTTAGTCACGCAATCCATTATACCTATATATTATTATTTATATGATTCTTCGAGTGTAATATCAATGCACAACAGCGTAACTGCAAGCTATTTATTGAGAATATTTGAGCAAAGGCTGAAGGAATACAATTTTTATGATGTGATCTATAAATGTTAATTTTAGTATTAATAAGTATTCTTTAAAATCTTTAAGCATTTGAAAGGATAGATCCGATCTTCGTGATCTGTATTCAAATGTAGGTACATATCTACTATATCTACAATCTGTATTATAGTCAATTTGATATAAAATCACTGGTTTGGGCAAATGAATATACCTTTTTATGTTAAAAAACTAGTTAATATGTATACTTACGTTGAGTTACGTATCAACAACTACGACAGATACTTGAACTCCAGTAGAATTATTAAGATTTTGCTTATCATGAAATAAACGTCTATCACTTTACCATATATAATTTTTATATTTTTCACAGGTGTGCGCCACGCATTTGTGTATTATTGTGTCAACACTCCTGTCTTGAGTTCTGTATCAATCGGTTCATATCTGTCATGAATGTGCTTACATAAGCAGTCTGCTACATCGTTCTATCTATATATGGTACAGGAATAATAATTTTTAGGAACTATTTATTTTTGAAACTTACCATTTTTACTAGACATGGTGACGTATGGCTATTAATAAATGTTTTTTTTGTGTTTAACCGACAGCAGAGGAGGCTCTGTTTCATCTACTGCCATAAATAAATGTCTAGGTCAATCGACGATCAGTCATTGCACCACCTGCGCCCAGGGTAATTTCGGTTCTGTATAATTTGTATGATCATATGTATTACCATATATTATGTTATATCCAACAAAAAAATAAGAATGAAATATATTCTGCAGGCTTCTCTCAACTCGTCGTCGGATAGTGGTTTGGTCTGATATTATATTTGAAAACAATGATAAATCACCATCACGAGTATTTGAAATGTCAAAAAATGATTTTGGGTGAAACTCTGTTATTTTTCGGGATTGCTGACATTTCTTCAAAAATGTTTGACAGTTGTAGTTGTTGTCGATAGTTTTTCTTAATGCTTATATATTACCATTTTAGAGAAAATCGAAAAATGACCACTTCAAAGTACCATCTAAACTCGATTTCCGATACATGAAGATGCTAGACAATACTTTTTGAGCACTTTTTTGTCTTTTTCTATCTGAAAAAAATGTTCACAGATAAGTATAAAAAAAAAACTTTATTGTAAAACCAATACATTTCTCTCGGCTCTCTTCACTTTTGTGTTTTGAGTCTAAAACACTTATATAAAAAGTCAAAACGAATATTCCAAATCAAAGTTGTTGAAAGTAATGACTATACTACCTGTATTTTTATATAAAAATAACTCGAACTCGAATAATAAGAAAAATAATTTCATGATACATATTATTAAGACAAATTAATGACAAACATTACGCTTCTATTGATTTAATGAATTCATATTTTATATACGTTCGTCAACAATTATTTTAGTACTTAATTAGTCTTATTGTTTTGTAAGTTCAATAATTCCAAAAGTAAGAATTTAAAATAAACGGACTTCATTACAATTAGGTAATACAATTCCTGGGATTTTTTTTATCGAGGACACATTTAAATGTTGGGCAATATTGCTAAATGTAAACTACCAGTATTTTAATACAGTTATTTGGGTGGTTTATGCCAAATATAAATTAAAGGTTTAAAATTATATCCAATAACTATGGTAATTATTTTATTTTCTGTAACAAATCGCAACCCTATGCAAACAACAACTATTTGTTTTTTTGTGAATCAACAAATTCTTATGTGAGGTCTTCTTAAATATGAAAATTTTTTAAAATTTACTTCGAGGTGCACATACCCAGGCATAGGACCTATGAACACATATTGAAACCATGGGAGAAATATTTGGCTGTAGATCGCTTACATTCACACAAACCATATAGCCCTTTTTAATGTCGATAAAATAAATACAAATTATTAATTTCGTTTACTCTTAATTATTAACACAATATTTATAGATGCTAATTATTTGTATAATAATGAAAATGTTAAGCATGTCTACCTCCATTATTTGAATGCTATTTAATTAGTGACAACTGCTAAATTATTCTCCCGTCTCTTGAATCCTTATATACCTAATAACTAAAAATGATCCTAGTTTTTAAATGTTGTGCCTCTAGTCTCTACCAATTCGATTAGAATCAAAAAGTCTGCAGAAAATCAGTGTTCAAAGATAAAGTTTTCTTTTATCCCAACGTTCTACCTATTTTACTCATTTTAACGTTATATAAAGTAAATTTAAAAAGGATAGGAAAACACTTTCAATGACATTTTTCCTTTAAAGTACAATCTAGTTATGATTCGATCGTTTTTATAGAGACACTATGTTCAGTTTATATGTTTAAAAAAAAAAAACAGTATTTTTTATCATGGACATAACAAAAATGCTTTGTTAGATTTTTTCATACCAATAAGATTACACTTTTTTATAACCTAATGTAAAAAACAAAAAAACAAATATGTGTCATTCTATTCATACAATTGAGTTATTCAAATAGTTTCTTTCTTAAACTTTTTAGTTGTCGATATACTATTGGTCAAATTCGAAAAATATATAATAATTATAATATAGACGAGAATCGTGTTTTAATCTTATAAATGGAATCTATTTCTTTAGTTTATTTTATATTCCATATTCTTATTTGGTCTTGGACTTGATAGTATTTGCTGTAGGAACAAACTAAACTATAGAAGCTTGTACTATTATATAAGAATCAATTAGGTACAGTGTATCGTTGTAATATACCAGCGTCCAGCACCTACTTTTTCACTGGGCCACCAGTCTCCACACTAGTTTAATCAGCGAGGCCCAAGAATCTAAATAAAAATAAATAAATATGCACTTACCTTCAGCTGACTTTAGTCATACATTTTTATTATATATATTTAAAATATTTGAATTATTGGTAATTTATGATTTAATGATTCCATTACAATAGTTACAACAGTTTTTAACCTACACAAAGAAATATATTACTATCATAGTATCACGTAATATAAATAAAAATATCAAGAGAATAGTTTTCCTTCTCGTTTTTAATACAACAGTCTTAGCAGCCCCAACTTTAACTTTATACATCGCATTTATATAAATCATAAGTTATTTTACTCTTTTGACGTGTGTACTCTCAACTCTTGTATTATAATATTTCATATCATTTCACCTTCCATTAAAATGTCTTATTATACTGTTCATAAAAAAAAAAAAATGACGAGTCCTTTAAAATACATTCTTTGTTTTCTTCTCATTGCAGTGTATAATAAAATATACCTACCTACATAAATAAGTAGCCTTAAAAAGGAAAAGTTAAGAGTTAACATACGTGTTATATGTTTACTATTCTACCAATATATATTGGTTAAATAATTATTTTACTGATAAAATATTTTAGGTAGGTACTTACTTGTATGTTTTGCCACCACGTCCAAAAAAATGTACCGTGTCAATGGGCGATCGTCCGACGAACTCTGAAATTGTTTACGTATCATAACAAAACTTAGTTTATTGTTTAAAGTAAGCTAATTGTAGCACAGTCAATAATTAAAACTAAAGATAAGACAATTTTCTTAAGATCATTAGTTGACCCTCTTATTTTCTAGATAATTGACAGATGGGAAAATTGAACACCATCATTAAATATTGAGGGAATGATAACTCATTATGATAAACTTTTAATGATACTTTAAAACACCGCAAGATAAAGTTCGCGCCTACACTATACATACAATATCTATAACGAAAATAAGTCGACTTGTCGACTATCAATAACTTGATAATGCGTCATAAAATACAATTAAAAATTCAAACTGAGATTTTCTTTAGTTTTTTCTTTAAATATTTCACGCGTTACTGTATTATACTTAGCTAGGTGCAAGATATCGAGACACAGAGAAATATCAATCATAAATTTTGAATTTTTAGATTTAAGACTGCCGACAGATTGCTTTGCGGCACGACGGTGCGATAAATATTAAATGGTGTGATGGCAGGAATAACAAACAATATAGTGGGTAGTTTATTAAATTATATCTCTCAAATAATTATACTTACAAAGTTTGATAAAATAATTGCACGTCACAGAGAGTACCATGCTGTAATATAAACTTTAACAACCAAACTCCTTTATATCATAATACACCAGTAGATACAATTTAATTTAATATAATTTATAAAAACAGATGGCATTTAAAAGTTTAGATTACAATAATCTTGTATACCTATATCTATATTTAATATATTAGATTTTATACTTAATATTTTTTATATTTCGATAACATTAAAAATATTAAAAAATCTAATCAAAACATAATATTACAATGTATTAATTATTAATTATTATAGCCTATAGGTTTAAAAATCGTTGGAATCATAATATGTAGATATTCGTTTAAAATATATTTTATATACCTACCTAGTTTAGTTTGACTTTGAGCTAATACATTATTCATTCAACTTTTTGTAATCTAATTTAATAATTTTACTTGATAAGTGTTTGGCGTTTTTAAAGTTAACTACTAGTGCACATTAGTTCCATTGCCGGTGGTGGAGGTATGGTATAAAGTGACATGGAGGTTAGTGGAGACTTATGAAATATTTTCAAATTTTTCACGACTGGTATTGCTACAGTAACCGACATTGCGATGAAAAAACATATAAGCCAAAATCCATTCTGAAAATCGAAATGTAATAATAAATAACTTTTCGTTTTTTAAGTAGTTAAAGACTCACCAAGGCATCCAAAGCTTGCCTGCAAACTAAATCTCTTCCAATTCGATACACATTCCATACGGGTCTGCACGATGCCGCTTCTGTTTTTACTGCTTCAGTTACGTGAATCTTATATTTGTCCAACAGCAGTTTTAAATTGTTTGTGTATTGAGCCATATTCTAAGACAGTGCATTTTAAAATAATAAAACAGTGTATATTTTAGTTTCTAAACTATGTAAAATTCACATTTATAGTGAATAATATTATAATATACACATTTTAATAGATGAATCGTTTATTGTCTATCACAATTCAATACTTGTCTCAATCACTACAAGTATAATGAAGTGTCTTTACTAATTTATTTATTTATTTTTCTATTTATTTAATTTGATGTCTACACTTATTTAAAAGGAAAATCTTATAAAATAAGTATTAAATACTGCGTTTTATAATATTTATGTAGAATAAAGTATGTTCTATTATAATTTCGTAACAGTTAAACATTTTAGACATTTCTCAAATAATTTCATAATTTTAAATTTAATTTTATAATAGGTAGTTCGATTGTAAAAACTAAAAATAGCCATAGTATTTATTGATACTTGTATCTGCTACTTGCATGACTGCACGACTGCACGGACTGTACTACTACGAATAAATTAGGATAATATTCTGTCGATATTATACTATATAATATTATTATATATTAATATATTATGGTTAGATTACACAACCTGTAACTCGTAGACTGTATTATAATTACTTTAAAAACAAGATGTGTAATTTTTAAATGAACAATTAATCCTTTGTGTAATGAGTTAAAACTTAAAAATTAAAATAATGTCTGGGGAGGGAGGGGGAGTAAAAATGTTACATTACACACTCGAGCACACATCCAAAGAAGAATGTAAACATGTCATATAATATACAATAACTCTTTTACAAAACTTTGAATCTTTTTGTTTATAAAAAAATAATCATAGATACATGAAATTTTCACCGAATGTTTAACTTGCATTGACTATTATATACCTAACAATTAAAAAAAAATATTTTGATAATTATCTATATATATTGATAATTATTTATAATATTTATAAGCATAATACAATAAATTTCATTCGTTTTTTTTAATTATTGAAGATAAAAAATTTTTTCGATTGGTCAAGACTCAAGATACTTGTAAATCCACAATATATTTTTTATGGGCGTCTAAAGTTAGAATTTTGCTAAATAAACTTTTATTTGGGTAAATGCATTGTGGGTACTGTAAAAGTATGATATATTGCTTAAATATTATCATGGGTAGCTGAATAAAGTTATACATAAACTAAGCACTAATATAAATAAAAAATAATTCTAATTTACATTATATAATGTATTTAATATTATATTAGTAATAGTTTTCGTAGAAAGCGAAAACATTTTTTTTTGATTCAGCAAATTCGTGGGTCTACACCCTCTACCCTCCATTGAAAATAGATGTATACTCCACTGTTTATTATAGTTATTATTATAATATATACCTTTCTCAGTATTTGATCGAAATCGGAATTTTCGATTCTAGTATATGCATTTGCCCAAGTCCGGTTTAATGATTCTGATAGCGGTTGCATTTCGACTTCCATTAATGTTAAATGATATAGTAACATATTCTGTAACAAAATTATTCACGGATTTGAGGATTATCGACAAAACTAGTTGATAAAAACAATAAAAATACTTCTTACTTTCTTCTGACTCATTGGGCTCATCACATTTTCGACCAAATCTGTAATATTTGTCACTACACGCTTTAATGTCATTTTAAACATATTAGAGAAAGTGGCAGTTTGTGTTGAAAGTGCACGGAGTTGATCGCGTAACAATGTCACCCGGCCAAGAGCCAACGAAGACTCCAAAATCTGTAAAATGTAATTAAATTATTAAGACTATCGTGAGTGAATTGATATGACTGATGACGCAATGTAAAATGTACTAAGTGGTGAAATAGCTTAACACCTAACGGCTACTAATGCCTAAAGTAAAATGAAAAGAAATAACTTGAAAATGGATATTGACGCTATGATGTTAATTAGTATTAATTAAGAGTATTTATATAGACTTCAATGAACTTTTCTTATATTTAAGAGGACGTCGCACCCACATACGTGTTGTATTCATCTAGCACACATACGAGTAGGCTTAAGATATCATGGCAAATTTTTGTTCACTATTTTCAGTAGTGTTCTCTTAGTTTTGATATTATAATGAATTTACCTATTATCAAACTTTTAGGTCAATTCAATCTAATATCAAACCTAACAGCACACTATTGAAACTAGTGAACGAAAATTTTCTAGTGAACAAATGCGGGAGCGACGCGTCCTCTCAAGCCCATTTACATTTTATTTTTAGGATATTTTTTATCTGTATGTCTTAGCGTTTCAACTTATATTCAAGCTCAAAGGATGGATTATTATAGTTGTGTGTAAATAAATCTTACGAGACTTCGAAACTTTTCAAAGTCCAAGTTTGTTGATTCGGCAATCGGCCTCAATGCATCAGTTGTGGACGGTGGTCTGTTTAAGTCCAATTCCACGCGGACCCTTTTTGTTTTGAGACTATCTAGAGCATCAATAAGACCTGGCCATTTGTTGTAATCTGAACTAGCTTCTACGTTAAACACTTTATTTAAATTAAATGTTGAGTGCGCTGTACGATTTTCTCTGCACGATCTAAAATAACGGAGAAGGGCCTCGAGATATGCACAAATATGCCAAACAGTTATTTATATAATTAATTCAAGTAAATTAAATTACTCGATGACTTCGTTGAATGGAGCTGTGGTTGTTTCATTTCCAAAAATGAACCAAGAAAAAAATCCACGTTCATTTGTTATGGTCGGGCAATCCATTATTTTTGTTACAGTTTCGTACATAGGTTCGTCATATAATGGTCTGCAAATATTTACCTCACCGTTGCTGCTTAATATCAAACCCACCAATGCCGCTGTCCAAAGTGCCAAACTGGTCAATCTCATTGTGCTCACACAGCTAAATATTTTTTGAAATAGCTAATCATAGTGTTATTTAAAAATATAAATTTTTTTATGTTGATGTATCTTTTTTTAATACACCATTCTTATACGGATTATATACATACTAAAAGTAATTTTAAATTGTAATCATTGAAACGTGGTTAACATTTTACCATGAGTACAGTTTATCATTAATCATTATACGTATACATTTCTGTAAGACTTTGCATAAGTTATTGGTAGTAATCAATAGTATAAAACTTTGATAAAAGTAGTATACGTTTTCAAGGAAGTCTTGAAGTTAATGTGGTAAAATCGATGTGTAATTTGCATTGTGTTTTATTTTAGTCTTTCTTGAGTTTTCTCATTTTGTATTGTGTATTGAATATATATTTAACATACAATATTCAAACAGAACATAATCAATGTCATCCAATTTATACGTGTTAACAGACACAATAAAAAATTATTATATCGTGTTCAAAAAAATATATTTTACTTATAAATAACATGCATAATGCATTTTGCTTAAAAGTAAACGGTTGTTTGTGTTAGGTTTTAATTCTAATTTTAAGTTATCTTACCCAAAGAAGTAGCATTTTGCCCAAGTTGTGTGAGAACAATAATTTACCACAATACTGCATGCTAATAAAATCCAAACTAAAAGTGCAGCGATTGCTATTCCTATACGGCACTCATAAAATTCGTGTCAATCATGTATTTATCACATATTATATCGTATTATAAAATAGGTATATTTTGCATAAATATAATAACTTACCAACACTAGCGGACCACCTATACACCTCTATTTGTTTCAATCGCATAAAGTAATTGTTAGCTGTCTCTTTCATGTCCATTAATTTTGAAACGAGTTTACGCGTGTGACTTTCATAAGGATATATTGAGAATTCTAATTGACGTCTGCGATCCATCAAAGCTTGTTTTATACCTTAAAAATTATAATCAATACATTTCAATAGGTATTTAAGATAATCTATATCTATAAACATATATAAAAATGGAGCCAAAAATGTATAACAATTCACCAATTGAGAACGGCTGGGCCGATTCGGCTCAATTTTTTTTTAATTGTTCGTGATTGCCAGGAGTAGGTTTTTATAAAATATTTTTTGGAAAAACTATGTTTTTAAAATTTTTTTTAATAAATTTTTCTTATGATTTATTTCTTGAGTTCCGGAATTTTTTCGAATTGAAAAAGCTACAGCAAGCTTTAGATTATAAAGATATAATTAATCGTTAAAATGTGGTTGTCGGCTGAGTTACGGCCGCTCATCGGCATGTATACATTCAAAATAGTTAATAAAATTAAAATTAAACATATTATTCATATAGAGTGTGCACCTAGCGGGGTCCACAATCCACTGCAGAGTGCAGATTGATAGCCTACCTGATAATATACTGCTCACATTATCACATGCAAGTCTCATATAGAGTCTAGGATCAACTAGAAAAGATATAATATTGATATAATGGATATTTGTTTCGATAAGAAACTACGACAGTTAATTTGTCTACTGACGATTGTACGTAACATTGCAACAGCCATATTTATGACGTAGGAATTCTCACCAAAATGTTAAGCTACAAACTAACTTAAAATTTTTATTAAGTCAAGAGTTGTATGGTAAACACCGAATAGCTCAATTAAACAAATTGCGTCATCGAAAAGAAATAATACTTTATTTATCGATTTGCGATAAACGAGTTAACTAAACAAACTATAATTATAACTATAGAATATTTCAATCAATATGCTTACGCCTAATCACCTCCTCCCCCTGGTACGTAACAAATAAAAATCTCCACAAAGATTTAAAACTACCCACTCTTAACGAATTGGCCAAATCCCACTATACCAAATTCTTTCTAAACTACACACTCATTATAATCCTTTAATCCAAAAATTATCCTCTGCAACACATGTCCCTAAAAGACTAAAAAGGCTGTGGCCCCGAGACTTGCTCAAAGCATAAAATTAAAATGTTACGAGTCATAATATGACCTAACCAAACAATAACTTAATGTAATCTCTGGTCAGGTGACACTACTGAGGGTCTTCCTATTCGAATATTTCATAATGTCATATAAACTTTGTCATCATACTTACTGATTATTGTAAAATAGATTGTAAATATATGTTAAAATAAAAAAAAAAAAAACTATAGAATCATTTTTTAATAATAATATTATGTGTATAGAATCATTAGAATCATTTGTAAATATTATTATTATTATTTTTTTTGAAAAGATTTTTCAAAATTAGACTTCTAAGGGGGTAAAAGGGTTTTTTTTTGTATAGCTATAGCTATATACAACAGAATGATATTTAGCATTTAGTACAGTTTAAATATTTAAATTAAATATAATATTCATTAATTTATCAAAAGCATCACTCACTATCATTTATCGCATTTACTCACAAGAACAACAAAATAGTTGACCAGCATATTTAGTATTATTTACCAATGATTAAAACCTAAGTCGTAAACATTTACAGCTAGGTAATAAAAACATTGTATATCCCATTGATTCCCAAACGGTGTGGCACGACTCCTTGGGGAGGCTCGAGCTTTTGGCCTGGGGAGGCGTGAGCGGAGTGGTAAATATTGATATTTTTTAATCAACAATAATTTTGTTGAAACGTCTTAACTATTCTAAACAAATATTTCACTATTTCAGTATTATGTCACGTTACACAATAATGTACTTGATTTGGAGATTTCCGTAATAGTTATTTATTTATGGGAGGATCAATTTATTATTTTAATTTTTAGGGTAGCGTGAACTAAAAAAAGTTTAGGAACCACTGGACTATATCCTATTAATCATTATATCTATTTTTAAGCTTTCTATTTCTTAACATTTTATTATAACTAATATACAATTATTATATATATATTTATATTTATTAATATATTATATTTTAGATATATTTTTACTATTATTATTATTTATATATTATAAAACAATCGTAGTGTAAAGGTATTATTTTCGTTAAAATCGGTAAAAAGAGATAGTAAAGGTCAGGGAAAAATATATTTTTTTTAAATGTTATTTAAGAGCTATATAGATATACCTAATGTATGTTAAAATCAATGAATATCCAGTGTTGCACCAATGTCCAATGAGATGGTTATTTAAGTGGTTATAGTTGTTATAAAGACGATATATCAGTACATATGGTAATTTTACTTACGCCATCTTTCTTTTTCCGTTTGTTCATATAGAGCCTTTGGAATGTTGGCACTTTCAGCCGACGTCAATGGTAGACTTGATAGACCATCGTTTTCTACATCCAAAACGCCTCTGACTACATTTATCAAATCATCCTATGACAATAAATAATTATAAGTAAGAATAGTATCACTCTAATGACTTCCACGACGCTTTATTTACGTACCAAGTACGTATAATTCTCTGGTTGCAACTTGTTACCAGAGATCATATCACACATGGCGGAAACTTCAAGAGGACATCGTTCGGGTACCATTTGAAGTTCAACGTTCAAGTCGATAATTTGCTTGTTGTACCTAATAATGTCTTCTCTGACTAATTCGGCTTGAGAAATTACATCCTTTGCTTTTGGAAAAATCTTCTGAAAGTCTAAAATGCAAAAATAGCCAAACGTTATTCCTACAGATTGTAATATTGTATGATAACAGTCAATCATCACCTTGAACTACTCTAGAAACATTGTTCCTGGAACCAAATCTATGACTAGGGCCATATATATCATTTTCGATTGGTCCTCCCAATTGTTCTGCAATGTCTAAAAATGAAATAAATCAATTTAAAAAAAAAAATTAACTGTTATTGATTTTTTTTTTAAATTGTAGATATTATATTTAGTATGTAAAACATGAAATTATGTATCGATGTATGTAACTGTATTATTATTTATTAAAATATTATTTAGAAGCCTATTTTGCCTTATCAAGATTTTTTTCAAAGAATATAAAGCTCGTAAATAATTACATTCTTAGTTCTTCATGGTCTACTTATGTTGGTTGGTTAAGTACGAATCCTTGTTGTAGAGAATCTACACAATTAAATCAAAAGAACGATTTGTAGACCACTAAATAACTGCAGGAGGACGCAGATTATAAACAAATTAAATTAACATATAAATATAAACAGTAGACGTATTTCATGTTTTTGAGTGCTCGCCTCATTAAGTATACGCCAATCGTTAATCTTTTACGCTTTGTATTTTGTTTATGGACTACGTATTGTTTTATTTTATAAACGAAGAGTTTTTTTACATATTTTTATAACATACGACATTTTATTTTTTTATTTACTTACTCAAACTGTATGAAATTTTTTTTAAACATTATAAAAAGAATTGCTCAGACTGACCAAACTCAGAGACTGTCACAGTTTTTATTTTAAGCTATATTTATAATTTCAACATAATTTAAATTATTAGGTAATTTACAGTATGAATAGTAAAGTCTTAAAACAATATTCTACACTCAGATAACACTAGTCTTAACAATATTCGATAAGAAAAAAATTCAACATTTTATAACTTTAATGCAATTTAAAAGTGATAATAATTATTATTTGGAAGTACCCATAATAGTCATGTTGGATTAGGTTAATATAAAAAGTTTTATTTATACACTTTATGCACTTACAATATTATTGTTCCATTATACTTTCATGCAATACTGTATACACAATGTTTATTTTGTTACTATTTTAGCCATATTTATCAATTTTCAAATAAACATAGACAATCTGCGTAATTAGGAAGACATTTTAACTTTCTCATCTTTTTTAAACTTAAAATAATTTAAATTTATAAAATAATTTTTCTTTATTTGATTTATGTAACAAAAATATTAAGAAAATAAATAGGTAATTAATTTGAAAAAAATATGTGTATTTTACCTACAAATTGAAAATTAAGTTTAAGTACTTACATTTCGACGAATTAATTTATAATGAGTAAGAGAAATCGTATATAATTCAATTAAAATTTCTAATGTATGATTATAAATTATATTAAAAGTGAAAACGAATGTTATTAATATTTGACACATATTTTCCACAACATTTTAACGGGAGATGGCATAGAATACTTACTTGAGGAAAATATGTACAACTATTCATCGTCAAACTAAAATATTTTATTTTATTATCACTAATGTTATGTACCTACTTCGTTTTTTATATCTTATGGTCTGTTGATGTATTTTTTCATTTAAGGTGTAATTAAAAAAATATACTCAAATCAATTTTTTTATGGTTCAATGCTTTTTTAATACACCCCTTGAGATTTAATGAGAAATATTTGCAAATATTACCGTATTGATACTTTTGTTAATGACTTGAACCTACATGAGTTTTCAGAAAAAAGGCGTCGAAAGTTTCCACGTGACCTACTTAATCGAAAGATACGTATACATATACAGGATGATTCAGCAAGCAGCTCACTCCCATGTTTTCCTTGAAAATAATTTATTTATTTGTTCTTTGAGTTTTGGAATTTTAAAATGTACCAATATTAATTGCTAACTTTTTTTTAAAACCACTATAGCCGTTATAGCCCATCTTTAATGCCCATCATCATGAACCTGAAACTTAGTACACAAAGTTAAGCAACTAAAAACTACTCGTTCAAAATTTGATTTTGACATCCTATTGTTTTCAGAAAAGTAGCCGCTAGTTAATTTACAATTCAAAAAGAGTATTCTCATTTGAAAAATAGAAGCTTGTATATCCACAGAATACTCTTTCAGGCGTACAAAAAATTGCAAGAGTTTAAGTATATTGGTCTTTAAGTATATTTAAAAATTCGAGAAAAAACAGATATTGAATAACTGCATTATTGAAGAAAAAAGGGGGTTTCATTCATGCTTGGTGAATCGTCCTGTATAAATGTAATGTTTAAGTCATCGACAAAGTATAAATGCATTTCAATACTTATGAAAAAATTTTTTTTTATCAAATCGTATTCTAATTTCTATCAATCATAGCACAAAATTGTAATTATTATACGAATTTATATATCTATAACTATATTTTGAAAATTTTCACTTGAATACTGTTTTATTTATTTGATAAAATAAGTTTGTAATGGTAACCATAAACATTTTTTTTTTTAATTAAAAATAATAGTTTTCTATTAATATAATGCGAGGAAGTTTCAATAAATAGCTTATAAAATCAACAAATTAAGTAACCAGGAATTTAAGAGTTGCAGTTTTGTAATTGATCATAAAGAGAAAATGGAAAAAAATGGAAGCTACTTGTTAAACATAGCACGTTTTATTATCAAAGGGTTATAAAACTGAAAAGTCGTAAAATGTCGAAATCGAGCGAAAAAACTTACTTTTAATATTGAATCTGTTTAAGATGATAGATTAGAGGGGGAAGGATACACAATTGGGACGGGTAATTTAATTTTATGCCCTACAGTCATATATATCTTATAAAACTGTCTATAGAAATAATTAGAAGTGACGTCAAAGTTCATTCATTCAGATTATCTCTCTACTTAAAAATTACCATTGCTGTCCATCAATAAAATAAGCCATTTTTAAATCTATACATGAATTTGAATAAACATTTCTGAAGTGAAACGAACGTCGAGAGGAACAAACATGATCGTTCCGATTAATATACATGTTTAAGTTCAAATTGTCAAATTATAAATTTAATACTGTACATATTATTATATTTTAATTTTTAATATACTAGCATTATTTACTATTTAGCATATGGAAACGGAAATTATAACTGTATTCAATACAATATTTAAAAAAAATTTATTTTTATTCAATATTTTACTTTTCTCAATCGTTTGTTCTAGCGGGCGTGATATACTTTTGTGTGAACTGTGAATGTAAATAATTATATTATTGTGTAATACTATAATCTAACCAACAATATTTCTATGTCCAATGATTTATTATAATAATGGACTGTATATTTCATAAAATGAACGCTATAACTTTATATCCGCTGTATGCATTGGGATATTACGTAGTTTTCGAGACGGAACTATATACCAAATTATTAATATAAAATATACGCAATAAGTAGCAATTATTATAACTTATAAGATAAGTTTACCATGCCTTGCACGATCGAAGGACGTTTATAATTTCTAAAATTAATTACTTATTATTGTTACTCATTAAAATTAAATATTTTTGATAGAAACTTGGATAACATAAAAAATTGTTAAGTCTATTGTAAAGTAAACTTTTCAACGAATTCAAAATTGAAATTGGAGTCTTGAAGTTAGGTATTTAAATTTGTATCAAAATGACTAAAATATCAATGGGTTGCAGGGACCTCTACATAATTTATAATTATTACTGTAGAAGAATCATAATATTGTTTTAAATTTTGTTTTTAAGTAGTTTCAAACTAAATTAATCATTTCAGTAAAAACGATGAAGTTTATTAACTATAATTAATATTACTTTTATAACTGATTAGATGCCAACTACATCATAAAATGTATAAACGGTCTCTCGTTATTTATCCGAATATTTCAAATAATATTTATGTAGCATATTTTAAGGTTTCCTTTTTATTTTCTATACTTGGCTGTTATTTGTTCAATAACACTATTATTTCTATTATGGGCGAAATGTGTAATTATTTTTCTGCATAATGAATATAATATATTATATGTAATTAATTTTTAATATGAATAATTTTATTTTAATCTTATTTATGTCACTGCTTTCATTTTCATTTAAGTTTATGTAATTAACATTTTCACCAAACATCAAGAACAATATATTTTGATTAATTGATGATTATTTTTCGATACATTAATTTATTTTATACTTAAAAATTAGGTAGTTTAATATTGTATACTCTTATTGAACCGAAATCGTATGAATCATTATAATATAATATTAGTATACCGTCTAATTTCGAGAAAATAGCATCGGTCGTCGAATCCATTGACCCGACGGTTATGGTTCTGATTTGTTTTTGAGTGATGGAGAACATGTCCACCAAGTCACCGACACCAAATTCCAACAGGTCTCCAACACTTGATACAGCAGATCCCATGGTCTCGTTCGTTACCAACAGTCCACAAGCACCGGCTCTGTATATAATCCACGTAATTTGAATTTATAACAAATAATTACGGTATTAGTATTGACATTTTTGAACACTATAAGAGACATAAATAAAATTAAGCTGCACCGCCCAATTATAGAATACAAATGCCGGGTGTATTCATAAAAAGCCCTCAGAGCAGTTGAACTCATTTCGTGAACTTTATAACAGTCGTATCTTTTTTTTCGGGCACGAAATATTTACACCATAAATCCGGTTTCCCGTTTAATGTACAGTCTTATAACGCCAAGTATTTAAAAGGTGGAATTCCTGTTTCCAGTAATACACGACATTTCCAACACTCGCTATTCGCTAGTACAGAATATTTTATAGGACGTTTCCCCTCCGTAGTCAGCAAGAAATCTTAGACTTAACATTCATAAGTAATATTCATTTATATTTTGATATACTATACAGCTCAGATATTGATAGTAAGTACCTACTTTATTTTAAACAAAATAATATTTTGTTATAATGATGTAAAAAATATAATTTATAAAAAATGTTGAATTAGAAAATTAACTACGAGTAAGAAACTTTATACATTTACTAACGATATTATATATTGTACTAATTATGTTCTAATGCATTAAACATGTTTAAAAATGAAAGAATTTATTTTGTGTTTGGCAATGCGAAGGTAGCCAATAACCGTATAGAAGTATTCATGAGTATAAACTACAAATAGTATTAGTAAATAGTTAATTTGTGTACGTAAAAATGACTTTAAATTATTTGGATCTCACGTTAAATGTTAACAAAACGTAGTCATTTTTCATAAAAGTTTTCCAACGTACCTACTAACCGAAGTGCAATCTTAAATCAATATATTTGGTTTCAGATTGATGTTTTGTTTGGGTAACAATACAATTTTGAAGCACTTTTACTTCACTAAAACGTGTTTATTGAAAATAAAAAAAAACACAAGTAATAAAATACAAAAAAGTTTCTACAATGCACTCAAATTTCTAAAGCAAAACAAAATATTTTATTTAACTAACTCAAAATAAATGTAGTATTATAAATATTAAAATAAAACAATAACATTGAAATCATTTTGATCCAGATAAATAAATATATTACATTAAATTTTAAATTTATTGAGTCGTTTAATATTAATTTTATAAGTTAAATAATTTGAAGAATTTTACTATGTATAATAACTTTTTAGATTTATTATTTAATTGTTTATTTTGCACGCATTATTTGAATAAAATTATTCTTTGCATTTTTATGTTGGAGTGTCAATTTGAAGAAGGAATGTAATTAAATTATTTTACTGCATATAGTAGTGTCTGACGTGTGTACAATGTACACTGTACAATGTACATATATTAATGTTTTCATTGACCATTGAAGTAAATTAAATAATATTAATTATTATATATTTATATGTTATATCTAAAGATAAAACGGTATATGTGTACATGTACAATTATCATAAAACCAATGTAAAACATAATATTAATATTTTTTTACTGGCAGAATAACAGTATACAATACACATTATTTTGTATTTATTTTTAAATTCTAACACGAAAACTTGAAAAAATTAGTTACTTACTTATTAGTGACACTTTCGTCAATACAATTTTATCATAGGGAATGTCTGCATGATTTTCTTTTGAGACAACGGGGAGTATTCTCAGGCGCAGTGTTCGTTTGAAGCTAACATACTACATTCCTCTGCAGGTGGATTTTTGGTGATTTAGAAGTGAAGAATGATAGCGACGAGATAGACGGATGCCTATGTCAATATTTTCTTGAATACTAAACAACGGTATTTTCTATTATTTTCAGGAGCTTTCTGAGAAATTTCTAAAATGGAGGTCTTGGATATTAGTATATTACACACGAATACTGCTCCGAATTCCTCTGCGATATCGTCTGTACAATGTTTCTATCTATTAAACATAACCACACGGCACGCGATCCGGGTTCTTCAATGACATTTTTTTTTTTTGAGATGAATGGTGATTACAGAACGTCAACATTATTTTTGTAGTACCCAAAGAGACAGTAATACAATTATTATACATTTATACTATAACAGAAAGTATACTGTAACAATACTAGTAATAAGTTAATAACAGGCTAGCGTTTTTCCCTGTGATCAAGTATACCCACTATAGCCACTACACAGTCGTACCCACCGTAAATTATACACAGCATCGGGACTCACGGGTGCTTTAAATAAGTAATTATTTTACATATAAATTATATTATAGAAGTGTAGTGGTAATACCCACCAAGGAGGTAAATCGTTTATTTGAAATAGTGGGTTAGCAACGCATTGTACATTATATGGATGGGCGGTACTCTATAGATCACTTCAATATTGAAGATTATATTCATTAATATTTTATGAAAGCTTGATTTTATTATTTTGAAACTCTTTTAGACGTATATATGTGCGAAAGTGATTTTAATATTATATAGTATATTAGAATGTGTATAACGAGTAATGGATTTGATTCTAATAATCATTTTTTAGAAAAACAAAATACACGATTTACATAACGAGACATAGATTGTTGCTTTTTTGTGATAAAAACACATAAGTCGAATGTCATCGACGAATGCTGACTACACTAATACACCGTTTACAAAATTAATGAAAGGGTGCGCAACTCGTGTTAGAAGGAACGATTTATTACGGACAAACATAAAGTAGCCAGGTCCTTCGGTCGCCAAATCTCATAGACATCGACCTACCATGGAAATTTCAATGGGTTGAATTCAAATCTTTTTCTTGCTGAAGTTTGAGTTCTCGTATTCTGTTTTTGGTGAAAAATATTTACAATAATGCGATGTTCAAAATTCCGTTCAATAAACTTAAACAGCAGTTAAACGTTAACGTAGGTAAATTATAAACGTTTCCATTAATTAACAAATTCTGGTAAACCCTGAACAGTTGTTTTACTCCCACAGCTCCAAATTTATAGACTCCACCACTTAAATTAATATCTGTTGATGGTAAGTGGTAAGCGGACCTATTATTTCATAGTGAAAAATAGTGACCAATTCCTTTTTTTTATGAAATTACATTATAAAGTATATTTTTCGTTAATAATAAATATAATTGCTAATGTCTCTTATTTTCTATTTTATATTAATATAGATTTTATTAAACAATTTAATACTAGATAGTTTAAGTGGAAAAGGAAAAACTCAATACCAATTACCAAAACAGTTTGTGGTTTATTTTTCAAATTACTTGGAAACTATTGTGAACGTTCATGAGTGGTATCTCTAGAGTACCATCTGTGTACGGTTTCAAAATCTGTAGAGGGTTCATAATTTTGAGTCCTATCGTTTATATTGTAACTAAAACTAAAAAACTAAAACACAAACATATAATATTTTATAATAGCTTTCTTTGCTATATAATAGTTATAATCGCCTACATTCAATGTCAAGCAAACATTAATTGACACAAACAAACATTAATTGTCACAAACAAATATTAACTGTGACAAACAAATATTATACGTTAGTTTCGTTCACGAATGACGACTTACCCTAACATAAGTAGAAGCATTTGAATGGCAATGACCAGCACACCCTTTTTGCAACCCGACTCCCAGCCAGTGTCTCCTAACCACTTAGCCTCTTTGTACCGCCGCTGCCAATATACTCCGTATCGTGCTAGTATCAGACCGCAGAATATCATTAAGGCGCAGACCACAGCCAGTGGCCATTCGTACGGTAGGATCTAGAAAATGTCACAAAATATTGTTAATACTATAACATTTGAATACTTTCTCTCAAGAACAACGTTATTGATCAGGTTTAATCGCAATAATATGCATTTTAATATAGAACACGAAACCATAAAACAGATGTAGGTATTTGATTGGCATATACCTACGAGCTCAACCAACCACGAAACGGAAATCGATAAGTTTCTAAAAACGTCAACGGTAAAAAAGTACACGAAAAGTAGTGGAAGTATTAAATAGTATTAGTTGGTAAATAATTACAAAATTATATAACATGATGTACTATTAAATTTTATAGTCGCCGGAGTATATCGTATCGATTGTAGTGCGATTGGCGTCAAGCTTCTATTGTATTTTTTTATGTATTCCAATTTAGACTTAAAAAACTTTTAAGTATGTTCGTGATTAAAAAAAAAAATGATTTTGAACTTAGTGTATTAGTTTTAAACATTAAAATAATATACATTTCTTAACTTATCACATCATTATAAAATGTTTTTTCGGCTAGGTAACTATGTGCATAGTATACATATATATATTAATTTAATTATTTTAGTAACTACCAAGTATATTTAAAACTTAAAAAGTAAATTATTCCTTCTAAATTAAGTTAGTTAAATTTTTAAGCTTAAATTATTATACCTGTGAAAGTTTTGATTTTAATAAATTCACCGGGGAATACTTTTTCAGTACTAAAAGATCTTTTAATTTTTTTTAACCCTCCAAAACTTAACACAGATTTTTAATGGCAATAATCATTAATCATTATATTTTAATGAGACACATTTTATTTTAATCTAAATAATATTTACTTTTATAATATTTCAATAATTTAGATTTAACAAATTTCCAATTTCATAATTTATATGTCCAGCACATCGATTACTTATTGAACTAACTTAGCCCATAAAAAATAACAGCAAGTAGTAAATATTGTTAACAATATAACAGTGAATTCGTACAATAATTTTAGCGTACACTTTTATTATCGTCTATAAATATTGGATAATAAGTTGAATATTTTTTTATTAACATTAACAAAACACAAATATACACAAAATTATTCATTTAAACTATTTAAATGATACGGTTTATATTTGAGACCAGACAATCAACATGTACTAGTTTTTAAAATCATGTCTTTATTTCTTCTACGTGTTTAAAACAAAAATGTTGATACCTTCATTATTTCGTTGACTTGTTGATTGAAAGTTAAAACCCTTTTTCATAATTTATTTCATCATATGTGATTAGAATATAAATTTTAAATATTACACTTAACTAATATATTCATAGCTTAAACTTTTAAAAAGCGATTTATTTCTAGTACGAAATATATTTCTATAAGAAGATTATAATAACGAACAATAAAAGTTCTCAGGAGGCGTTAATTTCTTACACAACAAAAGTTAAAATATTTTATTATTTTCCGTGTTATACCATATGTTTTATAGTTTTGTGAACCAAAGTTTTTATTCGCTTAGAGGTATTCATACTTAGATAATGGTAAAAAAAAGTTTTTGATACTCAGATAATAATAGTAATTATTATCGTTTTTATAAAAATTCTCATCTCAAGCAATAGCATCATTCAGTTAAAATGTCTTGCCCTGAACTCATTACATTTTTTAGAGTACTTAATACTAACTACTATAATAAGGTTGAAATTGGTTTTTTTTTAGGTTTTCGTGACTGAGTGTGTAAATTTGATTTTAGTTTTTGCAAGTAAAACTTAAATTGCCCAAAGTTTTTAAACTGGTAGATATAATTCCGTGACCAAAAATAAAGCTGCTAAGGTTTATTTCAAATCACAGCTTTGGTTTGTATCGCTACTTGTCAATTCAAACTTTGGCGTTATAGTTGGTAATTTCATTTAAAATTACTATTGGGAAATGTGTTTGTAAAACCAATTCATTTATTTTTAAATTCTAAAGACCGCCAGATCGTGACGCCGAAACGTAGGTTTGAGTTCTGAAGTTTTTTTACTGCTTCTAATATTAAATTCTTTCGGGTTCCACTAACTGTAGGAGTTGTTAAAATATATTGACAGCAGAGAAGAGTTGAACTATTGACAACATTGATTATTCTCCTTTCTGAACTCTTACGTTCCCACAATTGCGATCAAAAGAATCTTTTGTGGCGGCAAACTTACAAATGCGCAGAGAGGAGCACAACGTTTCAATTTCATTATGAGCACGCAAGCATACCTGATACAGCATAGCAAGAGTATTACAAATGTTTGTAATTACCTGCGATAAGTGGAGTATTTAGGGTTGGGAGGGAGAGAATTGACTCCAGCGGCTAAGTATAGTATAAATATATTTTTAATTTGTAATTACTATTAACTTTAAAATTATTGATGGTTGGTTGGTTGTACAAAAATATTATCCGTTATACTTTTCTAACATATTGTACATGTACCTAAATTATCATTTCGAATTTTATTTTTTAAAATAAATTATACTAATGACATTCTAAATTTTTTGTATAATATTTCTATATCATAATAATATTATGAATCATAATATAATCATTTGAAATAATATATAGATACATCATAGGTAGTCAAAACATATTATTACTATACATCAATAAATTTAAACCTAAATAAATTGACGTTATGATATTGTAATGTATTTACAATCTTTCTGAATGGATGTATTCGTATTTATATTTAAATATAATTTTAAAAGTATTTTTTACAAGACCGAACATTACAGTAGTCAGCGGCTGGCAGAGTCGATAAAATATACATTTTTTCAAAGCTGGATTTTAAGTACAACATATTGTTAGGATAGCCAACAAAATGCAACACTGCTTGCGGTAGTTTAACGCAGAAAAAAAGAACAAACCATTGTTTAATAATAATTAATGCAAACACTCAATGCATTGATTTTAGTTTTATCAAAATAATATGTATTTCTTATAAGGGTTTTTGGTATTCAACTGTTCACGGACAATTGCGTCACAACCAATTGTCATAACTTTAGCTCCTGTTAGCTCTTTTCAGGTCGGAGTTTCGAATCATTAACATTTTTAATACTGCATTGTTGTTCCCTATAATTATATTCAAAAAGGGACGGCAATGTAATGTAGACAATTATTTTTACAATAGTTTATTATCCCTTTTTGAGAAAAAAAATTCTTTTAAAAGCATAGATTCTGCTTTGCGATTTGGTTATGGCTAAAATAAATTACTGTTTGTGTTGTCGGTAATATTTTGCATAATAAATGCAGACTATTGGTCAGGTTATTTATCATATAAAGTATAGCAAACAAATCCACGTCTTTAGTAAAAACAAATTTTTCGTATTATATCACAAACGATGGTTTATACTTTATACCCACAACGATTTATTACCTTTGCCCTTATTATTATTAGAACTAAATGGCTGAATACTGCCCGAATGCACATCGGTGTTATTCAAGTTAAAAATAATGGTTGAAGATTTCAAAAGTGTACATCGGCTACCGGGTAACCATAAACAATAAATGATCTATCTAGAATAATGGAAATGCAGAAGACCGATGAAGTACGTATCCAATTATTAGATGTAATATAGTGTTGGCTTAGATAATTTTAGGATAGTAATTAAACTAATTGATTTAATCCACAGTGTTGAAAATATATTTTACCTGATAATTTAGTTTAAATTTGACTTAAATAGGTATCATATAGTTTTCCCGAATAAATTAATAAAATGATTGTATACTGCTTTGGAACTATTGTTTTAATAATTATAAATATCTAACAAAATGAAAACCATACAGAATATTCGTGATTATAAGTAATAACATACTTAATAGAATAACATATAACTTATAATTTCAAAATAAATTATTATTGTTAGAAAACTATTATAATATACATATACGATGTATAATTACCAATCAAGTATTATAAGTTCATAATGTGAATTTATTTTGGTATGAACATTAACTTATTTTATGTGTAAAGTGTGAATTCAGTTAATAAAATAAATATTTGATGACGGAAAATCATAATGTTACCTATTGTCTAGATTTATACAATTCATTTGATTGGTTAAACAAGTATATTAGATTATTACTACGTACAAAGAACGTGCATCCATAAATTATTCATATAACCAGCTTCACCTATTTATCGAAAAATATGATACTAAGTAGTCGGGAGGCATTTATGAAGTATGACATTTGATCACGTTTTCCTCGATTAACAGTCGTATAAGGGATCGTAAAAATGACACCGCCGTTTTATACTCGTAGTTGGTAGTGAAACAAAATATATTATGGCTGTGTATATAATGTATTATGGTGCTGAAAGTCCGATAAGATCGGAAAACATTTAAATACAAGTTTCGATCGACAACGAAAATACTAATAGTTAGGTATAATAATGATTAAAGTAAGTAAGTTTGATAGATTGAGATGTTACCGAACATTTTTTTCGCATAATTTTCTACTAAATTTTTCCAAACACTACCACGGTAATAGAAGTTTTATAGTCACCACTTCCAATGTCACCGCGCCTGTGGGTTTATATTGTATAATATATATAAAAAAAATGCACCTATTTCTTTTCAGTCACACATTTTTTATGTATGCTTAGATATACGCTCGGCACTAAGGTGTTTATTACGGTGTGTAATATTGTACGTGCTGTATAAAATGTAAGATGTAAATACAGAGTGGTACTGTTGGTTCCGTTTGAGCTTCGCACATTTGTATGCATCTTCGACCCGGGACCCACCTTGTAATCTTTATTTGAGGCTTGTGAACTTGTTTTAAGCATAAAGCTTGTATTTTTAATAATTTAATACCTACGTCATGTTTTTACCATGAATGTGGTCCTCGAGATTTTTTAAAAAATAATAGGGCGGTGGGTGGTGGCTATACCCTAGTTGTGGAAGACCCCTGACGTATAGAATGTAGATGAAGATAAGGTGTTAATTTAAGTGTCTACACTCATTATTTCGAAAAGTTTTAACTTTTTTGAAAATATAATTTGTTACATACTTTTAAGTCATTGAAAAACAATATTTTGAAAAAAGTTATACTTTTATACCTACCCATGGGCCATGAGGTACTGATCATCGATCATCTTAATTATTAGAAAAGTAATTCTGCATCTGAATATGAATTTAAAAATGTTTGTTACCGATTGTCTTCCAAAAAAAAGCAAAACTTTAAGTATATAATAACGATATAAATACGATAAAAAATTGTAAAAAATAGGTGTATATATTATTTTTTTCAATGACATTCATCATGTAAAAATTATATTTTTAAATAAGTTAAGACTACGAAATTAATGAGTATAGACACTTAAAAGGATGATTTTCCATATAATAAGGTTTATGTGTGTGTGCGTGTTCAATTTTAAACTATATTATAATGTATAGTGCTAAGCTTAGTGAAGAGCCACTCAGATTAAAAACATATTCTATTGTGGTTTTCTGTTGCGCATTGTACATAGAGAGTCGCGTATGTGGTGTACTTGAAAGTTCGATCCCGATTTTCTGGACCACTGTGTATATTGCATACTGGATATAATATAATATGTCTTAATAGTTAATACCTTTTAAACCCTTGTTACTGTATGTACAATAAGGGACACATAATAAAAGTTATCCACACGAACTCAAATGAATAAAAATATAAAATATCATAGCGTATGTTAACAAGATCGAAATAATAAATCGATTCCAATAAATATTACATTTTCGAGAAAAAGAATAAAACCATCATTTCCATCAGTTCATAGGCTCAATTGGTTTTTGTATGTGTGTTTGGGAGGTAGGGGGGGGGGTGGATTTTACAGGAAGTTTATTATTACATATTAAATATGTAGTTTTTTAATTTCATTGGGACTTCTCCTAAGAGTTTAAATAATAGGTTCTATAGATGACATAATAATAATCGTATATACGCGCTACAGCCTCGTTACTTTTTTCGCCACGACGTCCCATTCATATGGGTTGCTAAAGAGGTCAAGAATGAGTTCGGCGGGCACGCTGTGCCACATGATCGCGTCCTCAGCCACGCCGATGAACCGGAGCCCGACGTCGCCAACCACGATTCCGACGCCGAACAGGCCGATCGCGGCCGCAGACCCTGAGCCTTCGCCGCTCTCGGACCTCGACGTCTGTTGGTCCAGTTTGACGTTCTCGCGAAACTTGGCACTGGGGAACGCCGCCATCTGCTCGAGTGCCACTGGCCCGGTGGACGCATTCGGCGACGAAGAGGATTGCCTCGAGGCGGTCCGGCTGGCGTACGTGAAACCCATAATACCCGGTTTACTGATGGCTAACAGGAACTCGGTTATACTGGCAATTGATGACGTCCGGTTGTCGATATCTGGTGACGACGATGTCCTATTACCGGCAGGTGGTGGTGCAGACCACGCTGTTGTCAAGTTTTCGGTAGACAGAAACGACGACATTGTCGTTGGGTTTTCGGAAGGTGGCAACGACGACCAAGACGTAAGGATTTCAATAGGCGGCGGTGACGATCGAACGGAAAGGTTTTCAATAGGTGGTGACGTCGACCAAGACGTTAGGTTTTCAATGGGTGTCGGCGACGACCAAGACGTTAGGTTTTCGGTAGGAGTCGATGACAACCGAGAGGCCGGGGTTTCGGTAGTGGGAGGTGACGACGGCCCAGCCGTCAGGTTCTCATTAGGTGGTGACAAAGACGTCATATACGAGTCTGCAGTAGACCGAGTCGAAGTTTCGGCGATGGTTGCTACCCCGGGCCGAGTATCGCACAGATGTGTAACGTTCACGGTAACGGTCGCGGCAGTCGCCGTCGTCGTCATCATCAGCAAACACGACGTCGCGCAGTAGAAGTACGTCGAAAGCGACGGCGGCCGTTCCATTTTAGTTATGTCTTATACCGAACTCAGATATTATAAAATAGTCCTAAAAAAAGCACACAACGCCTACCTACGTGTTTTATTACCACGTACACGCGCGAACGGTATACGACATAACAATAATAATAATAATAATAATAATAATAATAATATATAGGTAGGTACCGCGCACAGACGCACACGCACTCGCGCCAAGCCGGAAACGACTGGCCACCGCGGCGGATTATTACGTCGGCCGATGCCCGCCCGAGTTTTTAAAAGGTTTCCCGTGTACGCGGGGATCAGCGGACCGCATAACTACGGAAAACCCGCACCGCCACCACCGTCGTGCCCCCGCGTGGTTCGACCCCACGCGACCGCACGCCACCGACATTTATATTCTCGGCCCGAGACCGCCTTACGTGTTGTACACATATAATATAGACACACGCAGACGTTGGTACGGGTGCACCTCAGTATACCCATACACTGTGCATGCCTAATTAGTAATTACATATATCGGCGTTCGCTATAAGTCCATATTCCATAATAATTTAGTGTGTGCCGAACTCGTGAATACAATTTTTTTTTCAAATTTTTTGTCTATAACCGCGGTCCTATATTATGTGACCCGATTCCTCCTTTCCCCCGTCATTGAGGTATATTACGTTCGAAACGAGACTTGTTATTTTTACTGGTCCGTGGATTTCTCTCGCCACATATACGACAGTACAAACCAGCGACGTGTCACACACGTGTGCGATGTTTGAAAACGCTAAGGGGTTTCGGCTTGAGCAGGGGGCCATTATTGCTCAACGTTCCTCAAAAAAAATATCAATTAAATAAATATATAGTTACGTGCGAAAAAGTAAAAAAAAACTGTTTACAATTTCAAACAGTTCTCATTTTCTCAATCTGATATCTGTATATTTGTTATCTGTATACATTGTTATAAAATATGTAGATATTGTATTTCTGTGATGTACTGTAATTCTGTTAAGATATTAATATGGTTGACCAACTAAGTCAAGTTCTTCGATACGTTTCGATTATTTCAGACTTTGATGATAATTCTAAGATATTGCAAATAACGGAATCATTTATTTAACAAAAATTGGCAACAATATATCCACTGTGCTTCGCATAATGAAGAACGATTAAGTGAACTTAGAATTCTATCTATTGAACAAAATCGAGTTCGTCAGTTAAATTTGAAAGAAATAATTATAATTATGCAGAAAAAAAGGCAAAAGAAATTTCCATTAAATTATTATTACTAATAGATATATTATGTCATTTTATTTGTTTGTGATTTCATAATTTCATATTATTTTTTATGTAATTAAAATTTGATAAAAATGGAAAGTACCCGTGGATTTGCAAGATTTTATAATTTTAGAATAAAAACTTTTACTTTAAATTTGAATTTATGCATCTATACCTATATTATTCAGAATAAAAAGATAAAGGAGGGGTGCCTTTTTTAGTTTTGCACACAGGTCCATCTTTGGAAAAATCGCCACTGGTACAAACAGTGATTTATCGACATATTAATATATTATTATTATTATTATTATTATTCCCTATTTTATTGATGTAGGTAGGTATTAGGAATGAAGGTACACAATATAGGTGGTAATAGACTTCAACTTCATATTATTGTAGTGATAAATACTCATTCAAAAGCTTATTCAGATAACAAATTATATTATAATATTATACAATGTACATACTTATATAGTATGCACGAGCTTTCTTCCACAATTTTTGTGTGTATTATATTTTTGTATTCTCACTTCAACTTTATTGCCGAAAACAACAAATCACAATGACTATCCTCCCAAAGACAAATTGCAAAATAAACAATAACGAATACCCACACTATCGAGAAATTATTGTTTTCGTTTTATGCACTGCAGGCGAGCACACATTTCAACGGATTATGCAAATAAAAGTGGAATGCAGAACATTCGAGGCCTGGCCTGCTGTACATGGGACAACGTAATCGAATCTTTGAAAATATCAAAATTTACATAAGTCTATAGTGGATAGCACCGTTTTGAAACCACCGCTCCACCGTGTGTACATTAAACTATATCTGGTTTTCTCTTCTAATTGAGTATACTTTTCAAATGTGGAACATTTCTATCGACTTATCAAACATTTCTTTTAATTTTCTCAATTAAACCTTTTTATTATATCATCTGATAATGAGAAGTGTTCAAGTTTTTAAATTCGATTAGTCTGCACACTTCTGCAGTGGTTTCGATTTTGCACATTGTGTATTATCTATCTCCTATTGTAACGTACTATATTGTACGTGTAATACAAATAAATTATGGTTAATACTTAATATTATTACGGTTGTCTGTTGATTAGTATTAAGTTAGGACATTTTTTGTGAAAAGGTCTGACGTCCAAGGACCGTTGTTTTAATTATAACTTTATTATCAATAGATAATATTGTGAATACACTATTTATTGCCTAGGCTGAAGATCTAAAGCAACTAATGATAATGTAAAAACGATTTATTATTTTCTACCCACAACCCTATATATGTATATAAAATCCAAGAGTCAATACATCAATGTTTCAATAGAAAACATTGAAAATTACAAAATTACATTTATGCCGTCATAATATGATAGAGAACTATGATTTATATTTGACCCAAAATATCTACGGTCGTAGCACACTCTAAGCAAAAAGAAAGACAATGAAAAACTAGAGATAATATTATACGCGATAAACTAGAGATAATAACGCGAAACGACCCAGTACGATAATTTGTATATGGGCTATGAAGTACACCAACATTAATGTCAAACAGGAAGTATTATATTCCCATTAACCATAAACACCGTGTAAGTTAAAAAATTATTACGGGCCATTCTGTATATACAACACAAACCTTTAAGCAGAGTCAAGTCGGTGAGTTTTATAAAAATATATTTATGTGTGCAAATTTTGAACTACTCATAATGGGAATATAATACTTTCTCAATAAGATGAAAAAGTACTATTTAAAGCTTTCATGAGTATGAAGTGAAAAAGAATGTAACATGTAAATAGATACCTACTAATAAAAAATATCGTCCATACCTATGGTCTGTATAAAATTGATTCTTTAATATGTAGTCGACTGGGGGTGCACTTATCATACGCGTATTAGGAGCGGGCTTAGATGATATAAAGCCTTCCAAATACACAATATGATATAACACCCTAAGTAATTTATTTTATCTATTTTATCTGACATCCTTCATTTTCAACACATAAGTTTAGGTATTTTTAGTTTTTAGGTTTCAAAGTATTATAACTAGGTATAAAATGTATTATAGATTCTAGAAGGTAGAAATGTAGAGTACTTATGTACTTAAGTGTTATGTTAGTTGTCACCGTTCACTTATATTTTATCATACCTACCTACGTTATATACTTATATTGTATGTACCTATAAAGCGTTTTAAAGAGATATTTTACTTAATAAATCAGCAAAACATTTATTTTTATCTAACACATATATATTATATATTTTTTTCAAACCATTAACACCAACATTATGAATTTATCCACGTATAACCTATACATTTAATGTGTCTTTAAAACGGAAAATGAACTATGTAGTATACATAATATATTATATAATGTGATTTATCAATAATATGTTGTTAGTGTTATTTTATATACTTGGTTAAAATTATAAATGTATTGTTATTACTTTCAAACTAGTTTTTAACGCATTAACGAGTATACAGACAATACTATCAATTTATAAGAAAAAAATACAAAATATAAGGTTCACAGAAGTGTTGATGTGCTATATACAAGGCACTTACGTTTTATAATATGTGCCATTTGTTTCTAACATAAGAAAAAAAATTCTTAGTTTGTAACCATTTATTTTCTCAATTCTGAAATTCTTAGACTGGGATCGACGTTGAACTGTCCAGTATTTCCTATTAGACATTTTCAAGAAAACTAAGTAATCGGAGGTATATTGTATGATTTAATTGCTGAAGAATTAATTTATACTTTAGGAACTAGAAAAAGTTGAAGTACCTACAGGGTTTTTTTTGCTACCTAACCCAAATGGTTATTTAGAATCTAGAATAATTTACTTTAGTGAATAATAATATTAAACTTTATAACTGATTTAGAAACTTTATTAAGGAAGCAACTAAATGTTCATTTTTCCTTTAAAGAAATCTCCTGAAAACTTATTTCCAATGAAATGAATCGTAGACATTGTGTTGTAAAAGTTTATGGAATAAAGTAACTACGCATGAAATTGAATAAAAGTAGGTACATTTATATGTTCGTACTCCGTATATATTGTATGTATATATAATACACACACACACACACACACACACACATATATATATATATGCATTTTTCTAGTAGGTAAGTCTAGTCGAGTAGCTCCTATTCAACTTGTTAACAGACTGTTATACATCTTAAAATGACATTGACAAAATTAATATAGGTTTCAATTATTTAGTTTTCGATTGCTGAATGCCTGAATGCTGATTTAAATTATAAGTTATTATTTACATTTCATAATATTATAAAATACAATAATAAATCTATTCTTATTATAATAATATAATAAGTATTTCTCTCCAAAAATAAAAAATTAATTTAACGGAATGTACATTTTAAGATATCATTATATTTTTAAAAGAAATACAATATTGTATAAATGATAATTTAATTAAAAAATAACGTGAAAACAAATGACGAAAAATAAATTATAAGGGTTGTTGAATTATTATTATTACGATTAGTTGGACATTTTTTCCGGGTCAGGGTCAACTGTACTAAGACACAAGAACTGTAGCTTCAATAACTCCCTTGCGATGCTAAATTATTCAAATTTCGGATTAAAACTTGATCACCGGGGTGTCTCACGGTGATTTTTGACCCGGGTCTAAAACACTACAGCCATGGGAATGCAATATATGTTAGCATTCTGCATGCACAAAGAATATGTGTATGCTATAAAAAAATTTTCCATTGA